ATTTGTTTTTTACGCTTTTTTTATTTAAACCTTAGTTTGCATTTAAGATTTAAAAAAAAATAGGCCTGCAATAGTACTGAGCATAATTTCCGAGCATGTCGCGCTGCCGTTAACCCAGGCGCCCACCCACGCAAGTCGCTGCTCCTAGCGCTCCGATGCAAAGGGGTGAAACTCGACGCGCACGCGCTGGTGAGAGGCGGTACGGAGGCATGCGGCCGACACGATAATAAGAGTACAAGACCCTGGTTCTGTCTCAACACATCTCGCGACTTTTAACTCCCGACATCGCCGACGCCGTCGCTAAATTTAGACTATATGCTGGCGATTATCAACACTCTATAACTGCGTTGCGCGAGGACAGCACTGCCAGAGAGTGGTTGCATTATTTCTCCACGGGGCGCGGTGCAACCAGAGCCGTGCAACCAACCCTGCAGCGCTGTCCTCGCGCAACGCAGGAGAGGCTGGTAGCACTATTTCTCCACGGGGCGCGGTGCCGTCGGACCCGAGATGCGCTCCGACTGCAAACCGAAACTTAAAAACCTGTCGCCATTGTGCGTTTTCTTTAAAAAGCCGTAAAATGGTGCGCGTGCAATTTGTTGATTTAGTGTTTATTAATTATGCTGAGCAATTTTTTAATTAAAACCATGTTCTTAAACGCAATATTGAAAAAAAAATTAATTACGCAAAAATAATTAACAACTTGAAGGGCAACTCCGCTCAATTCCGAAGATTTCGGGATAATGATTGATTTCAAATCAAAAAGCCCTAGTAAAACACACTACGTCGTTTGTTTCGCGAAAAATGGGATATATATTTTTAAATCTGATTTTAAACACGAGCGGAAATCGAAACCGAAACTTCGGCTCCGCCCGGCAACATTGGCCTCGGGTCGCCAAGTACATGGCCATCACGTGGTACGATATGTCACGTGATCCTCGGCCCAACGACGGGCGGGATTGGGGCGGACGTGTGGCAGGCGCGAGTGTCGTCTGCACCGCACTCTTCGCCACGTTTTGGTGTCTACGGCATTCGACGACGTCTGCACAACTGCGGCATAAGTGTGCGCGCACGTGGTGTCCGTAGTGTGGACGAAACTCCGAGAGACAATCACAATCGGTGAGACGACGACGGCGGTTGTGACGCGGAAGACGACGGTAACGGCGGGACCACGGCGGGCGGCCGGACGGCTCCCAAGACACGCGCTGCGCAGGCGCGTTACGCCAATCACGTGGACACTGCTGAGCGCCGAAAGGCAACGTTGCTCGCCCGGAGAAGTGAAAACAAGCAAAAGGGGGCCATGTAGATGGCGTTTAGCTCAATGTTGGCTCCGCCCATGCCATAGCCTTGACTGCGCTGTTAATTGCGCTTGAATTCGCCCGCTCAAGTCAGCCGATTTCGGCAACTTGGCGAGTTGCAACTTGCAAAGTTTGCCGGACCGTTTAAGAAACATTTAGACAGAACTGCGTCGTAAGATTTCACGTGTGGTCTTCCTAGGCGATACTGAAGAGGACTGCATTGTTTTTTCAAAACCAAAAATGAAGCGGAGTTGCCCTTTAATTATTCCGGACTTTAATCATTTTCCTCAATGGGCCCCTGGCCCAGGACCAAAACGACACAAGCCTTTTTAGATGCGGAGCATCTCTTGCTCGGGTCTATGTCCCGCGGCGCCGTAGTCCGCACTCACAGTACGCATGCGCAACTCTCCTCCTTCCCTCTCTCCAACAGCTCCGCGTTACTCTCTCCGCTCTCTCTCTCTACCAGCTGCGTGCACTTCGCGTGCGTTCGCTTCTACTCACACCGCGCGCGCATGCGCAACTCTCCTCCTCTAGTCTCCTATCCTTCAAGTGTGAATATAAGCAGCGGTAGCGCGCTGCGCGCGTTCAGTTCACCGCTGTTGACTCCACTTCACTTCGTTCTTCCGATGAAGTGTGATGGAAGCAACAGTTCCGTCAGTTAGTGGGTTGGCGCAAGCAAGCGTCAGCACCACCCCACAAACTAACAGCAACGCTACGTCCGCTGAAGACAAAGCTGCGCACCGAAAGGCACGCGACGCTGAGCGCAAACGCTTGAAGCGAGCGGCAGACCCTGAACTACGGCAACGAGAAGCGACGTCCATTCGTCAACGTCGAGCGGCGGATGCTGAACTACGACAACGTGAAGCAGCGGCGGTTCGAGAACGCCGAGCAGCAGAACCTGAGGTTCGGGACCGTGAAGTTCAACGTAAACGTACGAAGCGAGCGGCGGAACCCGACCTTCGAGAACGGGAAGCCGCGTTGGTTCGTGAACGTCGAGCAGCAGAACCTGAGGTTCGGGACCGTCAAGTTCAACGTAAACGTACGAAGCGAGCGGCGGAACCCGAACGATCCGCGATGCTCCGCATCACCCCATGGTTCCCCTCGGGAAGATGGTGTAATTTTTCGTTGCGATGAGCAGTTTTCGCGGGTGCGATTTGGCCTGCGTTCTCTGAAACACCCTGAATATATATACAGGGTGTCACAAAAGAAAATTTAGAGGGTCTTTTTTACCGGAAAAAGAAACTAGGCATCGCCGAACGTTCATTCTCCGCCCAGAGGTAGCGCTAGAGGTCACAACCAGATGCCAAAGTTACAGCCCGATCCGATAAATTAATCATAAGTTATAAGTGATTTTCTGAAAACTTCAATGGGAAAATGGCGGCCGACGGAGTTTTCGAACACATGGGGCTCTATGGCACCAGACACCGAAAACGGGCGAAAATGGGCTCCATTTCCCCTTTGAAATTTTCAGAAAATTACTTATAACTTTTGATTAAGTTATCGGATCGAGCTGAAACTTTGGCGTCTGGTTGTGACCTCTAGCTCTGCCTTTGGGCGGAGAATGAGCGTTCGGCGATGCCAAGTTTATTTTTGCGGTAAAAAAGACCGTGTAAATTTTCATTTGTGACACCCTGTATATATATAACTTGCTTTGTTTATGCCTATATCGGAGCAGGTGCGGCGCAATTAGCGAAAATGCCATTGTGGCGCAATGCGTAGCAGACTTTCGTTCGTGGCACAATTTGGCCCAAGTGCCGCAGCACAATTCCATCACTGTTAACTGGCGCTTGCCCAAGACGCTTGCTAACAACGTACATTTGATTTCCTTCGCGTATTACTTTTAGTTCTTTTTAAGCTCGGCGCATGTCAATTTAGCGGATTGTAGGCTTTAGTGCACCGTGGTGTCACATCCTATTTCTGCCATATGCGGCGGGCGAGTTAGCAAATGTTCTAAAACACGTCTTCGGAGCATCGGGACGCGAGGAGGGACCTCTGAGAGGGACATGCTGATCGTCAGGCAACAGATTCGGGGAAAATAGGGGAACATTTTTTTGGCGAGTAAACAGACGCACTAGAGGCGGAAAGAGCAGGTGAACTCGCACGGCGTAGACTTCCAAGTCAAATAAATCGCTCCGACAGAATTGCTCTACTGTATATGCGACAAGCGCAAGAACTCGGACGCCGCAAATTACTTTTAAGAAAAAAGAAATAAGAACGCCCACCAGCCATTTTTGGGCAATCTAAGATCAGTTACTTAAAAAAAAAAAAAATGTTTAAGAAAAGTAGTGAAGTTACCGTTACAATTACCGCAATAAAAAAGGAACTCGTTACAGTTAGTCACTTCTAGAAGCAACTGCGTTAATTTTTAGTTACAATCAAATTACACAAAAATCTAGGGAAAAGTACAAAATGCCCCCCCCCCCCACACACACACACAGACAGACTTCCATGTTTATTGAAGTCATGTGTAACCACTTCATGTTGAAATACCTCCTATTTACAGCGATTGGTCATTGCGCATGTGTCGTTTCCCACCTGATGTGACCAAAAATGAGTGGACAGAAACAATAAAAAAAAAACGGCAACAGTGACGGTGCTTCAAGCAATCAACATCTAAGCGTTAATTAAAAGGGACATTGACATGGTATTTATGCCCGCCAAGGTTTTTATTTGCACATGACATATAAAAGCGCAACTAGCCAGATCACAGTTCGCGGCTCAAAATTCGTTTTCTTTCTGTCCGAAAACAACCGATCGAGAACTGGCCGGTTCGAGTCGCGCTCACTCTCTTCTCTGTGGTCAAGTGCCGTCTTTCATGGTTTAGATACAACCACCAAATATAATAAAGTCGAGGGTCATCGAAGGCACACACTAAGTATAAAAAATAGAAACGAAATATACCCTTTTTTTTTTTTTTTTTGGTGGGGGGGGTTGTTAAAAAGCCGCAAGTATGTCGAATGAAGAAAAAAAAACCTTACACAGCTACGTGACTTCCGCAAACTCTTTCCAACTCTTTCCTTCTCTATATCTCTACTGGTTCCCCGGTCGAATTTCGGTTTCAGTTTCGTGCAGTTGCGTTTTTTGACTTCATTAAAAATATACGTGACGCTGTAGCAAAATATTGTTTGGGTACTCCTCTGACACCATAATGAATCGCCTGGGGAAAAAAATATTTTGGGGGGTGTCACAAAAAACATGACCGAGCATAAAGATAACTAAGAACAAGCGGATAGTCGGCTCGTGGGAAACTATATGTGTTTGCAAAGTAACAATAAAAAGAAACGCCATTACTTTCTTTGTTACGTCAGAAAAAGTAATAGAATACTACTATGAGTTAAATTTGAAAAAGTGATGTATTACGGTTAAAAATTACCAAAAAAGTGACAAAGTTACAGTAACGCGTTACGTGTAACGAGTTATTTGTAATGCCTTACTACCCTAGACTGCTTTTCGGTAGGTACATCTTTAGAACGAGTCAGCTCTGCATTCTCGTATACCGTTGTTAGCCATTTTGCGATAAAATACTGCATTCTGGTGGGCTTTTGCTGTTTCCTGAACCATGGGCGACATCACGGTCTCATCATGTGCCACTGTGTTTCGTTAATCACACTCTTGTGCCGTCCTGCTTGACAAAAATCGCAGGCTCAGCAGAGCGGGTTTAGTTTCAAACATATAAGGTCACACATAACCATCAACACAGTTACATAGAGCAATGAAGTTGTTCTTTTATTACAAAGCAGCCAACAGCGCCCCAAAACACATGACGGAACGAAAAACATATGCGGTGTGTGTGGGCGGCCAACAAATCTGGTATAACAAAAATAACCTGACAAACACTAACGCTAAGGATAAATAAATTTATTTCGTATCCTGCTAAACTCTTTTGCAAACAGTTGATAAAAACGCACAAGGCTCATACGATAACAGCTCAAACAAAAGTACAGTTCCATGTATACTAAATAAATACCTATACTCCGTGTCACTAGTTGCGTGCTACGCAGGCAAAGGCAACGCCCGGCGAAGAGAGGAAGGGCGAGCTCTAGAAAGGCGGGACGGGAGAGGAGGGCAATGGAGGGCGAGGGGAGATGGGGAAAACACTAGGAACGTTAGAGAGGAGAGGTTTCTCTCCTCTTTTGCCTTTTGAGTGCTTGCCCCTTCTCGCCTCACCTGGCGTTGCCTTCGCCTGTACTGCACGCAACTAGTGACACGGACTCGGAGTATAGTTACAATTCATGTATACCAAATAAATACCTAGTCACATTTTACAGGTACTTGTTCATTAACTAGATTTATGGATACCTACACATTGCAAACACTGAAAAAAAGTGCAGAGGACGTAAGATATAACCTGAATGAACCAGTCTTCTTAGGAAGGCAGCAGCATAATTTTCCCTAAAACTAATACTACCATGCAGGCATTGTTCTTCAAAAACAGTATTTTGAGAAATATATAAAGAAAAGTCAGCAAAAATGCAACAGACATTACTAAAACAATTTCTGTTAATGACTGTACCCACTTTTATTACTGTTCTTTTGAAAGTCACCCTATAGTATAAAAAATGAGTGAATGCTCCCTCATCCTATTGCTACAAGCAAGTAACTGAATGGTAATAATAATCCCTGGAGAAGAGTAACAAAGGGGACAAAGGACAAACACAAATCTCCAGACTCAGCTATAGGTGACTGGTTAGCCACCGAAAAAATACCCAAAAGCTTTTCAGTGAGCCCTCCAAAATTTTTCTTTCGTGCCTTTTGTAGAAACTTTGGGCTGATAGGATAATTAACAAATTATCCTGTCAGCCCAACGTTTGTACAAAGGGTTCTTTCCCTTTCCCATTGACAAACAGAAGGAGAAACAAAAATAGCCTTAGCATTGCTCAAAAAAAAAATTTGCATGTCCGTCTTCAAGATAATGAGTAAATCATGATGAGCTATACCAGGGATCTCAAACATGCGACGAATGCAGCCCGCGACTCGCTGGGATTTGGTTCGCAGGTAATTGACTGCGAGCCCCGAATTCCCGTGTCACGAGCGCTAGAAATGACATGTGCCATAATGATTTGAAGTCGCCGACTCATTTCCCCTCAAAACGTAGCTCTGCTCTTGTAACGTATTCAGAAAGATTATACTACCGTGAAATCCTCAAGCGATGCCCCAACCACGAAAGGTAACTTACCCATATTTTTGACCACGATTTGCTATTTCTTTAAAAACACCGAAAGATAGCCCACTTCTAGTAATTGCAGGGCCCTGGCCAATGGTGACCTCAGCAGAAATGGTGTTACTTAGCCACAGCAGGAGATAAGCAAACATTGCTGACTGGAAAGGACAGTCGTCTTTAGTTCATCGCCCACCCCCTTGCAATTACAAGTTTTACGGGTGACAAAATCTAAAGCTAGCATTTTTTTCAATGTTTTCTTGATTGCACACAGAAAGTTAGCCCACTCCTTATTTTCATATGATTCGCTTTCAGTTTTAGGTGCACTATCTCTTGGGATATTACGGTATTCCGTTTTTATTTGACTTGTGTTTCATTGTAATTTTTGCTTCCCAGCTGTTATGTTAACCATTTGTATTACAATAGACCTTTCCGGAAAATTCCAGACCTCGCAGCAAGTGGAATTTTTGGGGCTGTTCCGACATATGCTGACGCAAATTCCAGTGCTTCGTAAATCCTTGAAGCTTGAACAAAGAATAAAACGAGCACGAAAAGAGGTATTCAAATACCCTGTTTCGATTTCCTTCTGACATCTCTGCATCCTGAAGTCACAACATGTTTAACTAACGTCAATTTTGTCTTCGATTCCTGGATAATCCCACATGCCATATATCGGAACGTCACAATTCTTGAAGCGTGAGGGCGCCATGTATTTTCGGAGAGGTCTATTCCACTACTGGGTTGCAAGTGCGAGCTGTTTGCTCGAGGACGCACCTCACTTTATCTTTGGCAGTTGCTACTGCTGAGCAACTGCCAAAGATAAAGCAAGCTATGAGCTCAGGGCTCTCACTTTCAGAAAATATCACTATTAAAATTCTGAGACAGCTACGGTAAACAGGAAAGCAAGGAATTTTTTTTAAGATATACTGAGCTCGATGACTTCCAGTGTGAATTAATCAATGTTGTGCTTGCTCTTGTTTTACTAAAAAAAATGTCAGCAGGCTCACGGAGCGGTGCCAGTTTACATCAGGCGAGGGCCTAAAGTAGTCCTAAAGCAAATCGGAGCTAAAGATGAAAACAAAAAATGTGTTTGCGAAAATCTGAGAGCAAGAGGTTCCTTCTCTATAAAATATTGACCCCCCCACCTTTTCCTGGGCTTACCTTGGCCCCCAGCCTTTCTGGACCCCACATCTGTCCCCCTGACCCACATTAGTAGTTTGAGATCACTGAGCTATACTACAATATCTGCCATGCCTCCCAACAAATTTTTAACAAATATGGAGACTCTAAACAATCCATGAGCACCTTTGACAAAACATATGGCATCAGTCATTCAAAACGCAAATTAATTTTAGATGTTTGATGCCATCTGTTTTGGAGGGGCTTTTTAAACCAACAATCTTGCTTTACTTGTTTGCTTATTTTTAGATGAAAGTCCAATTACTATGTAACTGTTTGAGGGAAAGCATGTACATTCACTCTTTGCTAACAAGCCAAACATTATGTAAAAAACTTCAAACCCTGTGTTTTTCTTGTTGCATTTTTTTTTTTTTTTTTTTTCACAAATACCATCTGCATTACAGTGCCTCTTTCCTGTAAACAAGAGATGAAAGCAATCAGTTCATATGCTTATAGTTCTAAAATATGGAAATTTATAATAGGAAACACATGGCATATTAGAAACCAATGTACATTTTCTAATCATAAAAGGAGAAAAGGTACAAACACAAACAGACAAAACAGCAGAGGACCACACTTGATTTTGCTTTTGATTGTCATATCCTAGTTCTTGCCCCTTTAAAATTCAGCAACGTCGATCCAGTCGCACTTTGCTCGCCTTCTATACCCTTTCTTGCAAGTCTGTACAGCGGTGGCAAAAGCGCGAGCGTGATACGTGTCTTTCAAAAGCATCCTCTACGCATGGGCGCTCGCACAAACAAAGCATTCCGTAGAGCTGCGCCCTTACATCCTAACTTTGCTTACACTGTTCATAACTTGCAAGATGGAGTATAGCAATAGGAATACCCCCTTTGCACATCCCATGAGATGTGGCACTCAATAATCCAGAAACCATATTTTATCTGCACAAACCCAATTTTAAGTTCAATGTCTAAAACAAAGTTCACCCTCAATGGCCAACACAGAGGCCAACCCAAGCACAAACTTGCATTTTTGACACAGAGTCCTTCCATTGTACCTTTGCCCATACTCCTTGCATATGGTGCCTCAAACCCACAAACACCAAACTGAACACCACCAAACCTTGTTTGGATTTTTTTTATCAGAATCCTAAGAAGAGATCTTCCCTCTCCACTTAACCAATGCAAAGAGAATAAGGAGAAGGTCTTTTGACCTCACCCAAAAAAATTTCAAGGTTGGACACTAAGGGCACCACATCACAAAGTCTAAAACAAGTCTGCCGCAAATGATTCGGGGAGTTAACTCTCTATCCATTGTCTCGGATCTAGTGCCCGGGAGTCGGGCCGCGCTAGAACCTGCGGCTGAACTGCAGCTGCCTGCCGAAGCTATAGGCTACCCCGCCGCTGTTCCTGTACTTTCCCCAGGCACCGAAGGGCATCACGACCGCGGTGGCGTTGTCCTGGGAGCCGAAGTGCATCGCCTGGTCCGTCACAAAGCCAGCCGCTTCCACTGGAGAGTTGCAGCTGTTGATGGCGTCGATTATCTCCTGGTCAGACATAGCGCAGTTGACGCCATCCGTCGTCAGGATCACGAAGGCGTCCTTGCCGTGTTTCACCTGGCCACAGATGGGAATGAGTGTTGAGAAAGCTGTTGCAGGTGGAAAGGTGAGAGATGGACAACTGACACCGCCACCAGGCTCTCAGACTCTAGCACGTTCCTCATAACTACAGTCCGTTTTAAATTACTATGGGTCACGGCGGAAGCTGCGAGCCAACGGCGCCAATCCTATGCCACGTGAGCATCATGTGGCCTTCAAGAGAGGCACAGTGACGTCCAAGGTACGGAGTCGCCCGATACATTCGCAGCTTTAGATTGGTTGGGAGGGTTCGTAGCATCCGCCGCGTTCCAATGTGAGGTAGAACAGAGTATATCTGAGTGCAGTTTGCTGCTAGCAAGATGAGGTGAAACAGAAATGAGGAAGCTGTGTGTTGATCACCACTTTTAATGCGATGATCGTTCTCAATGGTGCTGTATTATACCTCTACATTATCACTATGTGCTTGGTGAAAAAGAGCCGATTAATAATATGGACACCTCCTCATTATGTGACCATGGCAATTGCACAAAGGGACCCGAGTTTTTTTTTTTTTTTTTCTTCCTCTACTCTTTCTGCATAAAATTTCATTTTGTAAACATAGCAGGGTGGGCGACATTGGCCCGAACTGGGTAGCTCAGGCCATTACCTTGGAAGACCTTATGAAGTTGCAGCTATTTCTGCTAGGAGACTTTTTTAAGGTGGAACTAGGGTACTTAAATATGTTTTTTTATTATTTATTGAGATACCTTGCTGAAAGTTGGCATGCATATATATCATTGGATGATGATTCCAAATCTGCAGTTGAATTTCATATATCTCTTTTAGAACAAAAGATGTGGCAAAATATAAAACTACAATAAGGTAATTTCTTACGGGTCGTTATGGTAATTTCACATAAAAAAATTTATATTTTAACATATATGCAGTGATTTCCAAGGGTTCACCATATATTCTAAAGCTAAGTGAATGTTTACAACGCCATTTTGTCTACCAGAAATAAATCATAGAAATTCAAAGCAAAAACTTGTCACTAAATAATCCACATTTCAGCTAATTACTTTTTATCTATTGATTCTAGACGCAAAAAAAAGCTTTAGGATACACCTCAGTTGTTACTGAAAACAATGATACCAAGCTTACTGAAATCTGCCCATGCAAACATTGTGAAAACTTCCGTAAGGCAATGGCCCTGGACAAAAAAGACAAAGCTGAGAAAATCGCACTTGAAGTTTCTCCGATGTTGGCACTTTTATATATCAAGTCTCGAGAAAAAAGAAAAGCTTTAGGGTGCAGTTCAGTTGTTGCTGAAAACAACAACACCATAAGCAAATGGGCTTAAGGAAACGTAATCAAAACCTCCGTAGAAAAATAGCACCTGACAAAAAAAAAAAAAAAAAAAGACAAAAAAACATGAAACCACGAAATCAGCTCAGTAGTCTCCGATGTGCGCACACGGTCATAGCAGTCCTGGGCTGTAGTCCTGGGTCCTGGCAGGCTTGTGTCTCTTGGCCATCCTCTTCTTGACCTTTTCACTCTCAGAGTGAGCCTTGTTCGCCTTGCGAAGCCTCCGCCTGTCCTTCTCAAGACTCCTGCAAATCAGGCAGCTACCTGTGCTGTAGCCAAGCTGTGCTCCTACAGCCTTGCTCGTCTTCGACATTCCTTGGTTCAAGCGTGACACGGCTTCAGTGACAGCGCTCTCCACTGACAGCAGAGAGTCGTGTGTTCTTAGAGTTCTGGCCCCAGATCACAGAGTGTAGGCACTCTATGGCGTTCTGCGTCATACCATCACTGCAGCGCTTCAGGAATGCCCGGTCGCCCAGCCTCTCAAAGACTGGCTCCAGCGCAGTGCGAATGAAGCCTGGCAGTGGGTTCTTGAGTGGTGGTGGCTCCTCGTGGTTGGCTGGTGTCCGGTTGTAGGAGCACCAGGAACTGTCCCCTCGGGACAGTGGCTGTGGTCCGGGGCTTCATCTGTCGAGGTCATGAGCGACAAAGTTGCTTGCACTGCCTTTTCCATCCCTGGCACATCATGCTTGTAGCTTCTCAAAGCGTACCCATAGTAGTTTATTTTTTTTATCTTGTCCTGGGTCAGCTTTCCCTTTCCTCCGAGCAACTCTCCCTGCGCCTTCTTCTTCTCCACCAGGGTAGGAAGAGCTGCTCCCATCCGCTTGTGTACATGGTTCAGGCAGTCTTTTTTCTCAATGTCGAGGTATCCATAGACGCTGTCTTGTGTCAGGGCATGGAAGGTGCAACTGTCACCATCGGAAAAAATGGTGGTGTAGCACAGTCCATTCTTCGCCAGGGACCACCTGAACAGAATGAGGGCTGCCTAGGCTTCCATTCGTCCTGCGTTGTAGTCAATGTTCTCCATACACTTGTGGTTGATCACCCAGTCCCCACAGCAGTCGTCGTGTGGGTCAGGTGCACCCTGGCAGCATCGGCAGTACCTTGAGAGGACAACGTGGTCCAGCACCAGGCTAGTGTAAAGCTCGAGGATGCACCCCACTGCGATGTTGGAGTTGTGTCCGCGTGTCTTCCATGTGCCGTCAAAAATTATATCCACGTTTTCGGGAGGATTGAGGAAGCTCTCGTAGACGTCCTTCACCACCTCAACACTCGCCGCCTCTGTGGCTGTTGCTGCTGCCTGGCAAGCCTGCATCATGGTGTCCATGTGTCCCCTGAACGTCTTATGATGAAGCCCTCGGTGGGAGAGGTTCAAGGTTGCACAGAAGCAGGGGCGGATATAGAGGGGGGGGTCCGGATGTCCTGACCCCCCTCTTGATTTCTGCACGTGTAAAATTTAGGGCGTGAAACGAGGGAGAGGGGGAGGGGGTTCCTAGACATATGGTACGCTGACCAACATCTGACCCCCCCTCAGGAAATTCCTGCATCCGCCCCTGAGAAGTCTGCAAGCGCAGTCGCCCCCTTTCCTATGCTCTGTATTCCCTTCATCGCCCTCAAGTTGATCTCTAAGGGCGTAATCTTGGCTTCCCCGGCGACTCGTGTAGAAGAAAATCGACTCTCGGCGAAATCGCAGCTCGAACACGTGAGGACCAACTTCACTGCCAGGCCGCACTGCCTCTCTTCGCACTTCGACAGTCCTACGGTAGCCATTTTGCACTTGCCGCATGCCGTGGACGCAAAGAGTTCTTGTAGCACTTTCATGTCCACGATGACGTACTCCGTGCCCCGGTCGGTGTCGTTGCTCTCCATGCAGACGTCGCAGAGCTCAAACTTCCGTGAAGTCGCCGACTGATCTGCCAACGAAGCCTTTCTGTCGTCCGCACGTTGTTCGCGCTCCACGCACTTTTCCTCCGTGTAAAACACAGTGTCGATTCAATCTCTAGACGAACTTGGTCCAGCCACAACCACAAATGGAAAAGCAGCTTGAGGCATTGGCGAAGTTGTTGAACACAAACTTGATCCAGTCACGTCCACCAGCGGTAGAGCGACTTGCGGCATCGGCGAAGTTGACGGTGTCGTTTTCCTCGATGCGGAGGTCTTCTTGTTCCAGGCACGTCTCCTCTTTGTGTTTAGTCTCTGCGTGTTGGCCTTCAAATGGGCATCCCCAGCCGTCCTCGAAGCGAACTCAAAGCGCGCAGAACGAAACAAAGAATGACGACGCAGGAGGGCAAATATATACGAAAAGGGAAAGCTAAACTAAGTGGAAGTATCAAAATATTTACATGAACGATGCGAAGACAGGAAACATACAAAAACACTAGGAAGCACAAGAAAAACACTGAAAATATTGATGTAGAAAGTGGAGAAATATGAATGCAGCCTGCGTCTCCAACAGGGAAGCGAGCGAAAGCAGACGACGCGGGGGCACGCGGAGCGACCGGGACGACGCGCCGGGGAAGCCAGGAGAGGAGGCGTGCGTTTCGCCCGATGAGAGAGCTGCACCTCGGAGAAGCGCGCGCTTTGCCCAATCAGCGTCTTTCCTAGAGCTGGTGACGGCCTTTTGTACAGCATCGATGACGTCGAGGCCTTGAGGGGTACACCGCTATGGAGCGCGGGACAATTGAGCGCGGGAAAGCAGCTTTCGAACAAGACCAAGATGGCTCCGATCGGTTGAGCCGTTGCGGTGCTCCAACGGCTTGAAGTTACACGCCAATCACAAGTCAAAGTAGCGGTGCTAGCAGCTCAAAGAAGCGCACTCCGCGCAACGCCTAGACCGGAGGAAAAAAAGAGAACGATACTGACGTCACGGCCCAATGTTGCTTTAGCGATCGGCAACCGGCTGGCCGCCCGCTAAGGAGCAGCGGCTCGCGGCGAGTCGCATTTTTATTATCGGCATTAGCTGAGAATGCGGCGTCCCATGGACGTAATATTTTGGCTGGGGTCGTACTTTTTGTCACTACAGCGATACCAGTAATTTATTTCGTTTTGAGTTTTGGCTGGAGTTGCCCGCGTCCCCCCTTAAAGGTAAGGCTTAGCTCTACCGTAAAATATCAAGTAAGCGTCCATTCAAATTTTGGAGATAATCTAGAAAAACTGACCGGGTCAAAGGCTGACGAGAAAGGACTCCATGGTTAACTAGGTGGATTCAGAAACCTGAGGGGGACACTTGATATGTCCTTTGCTTAGCTTTCAAACATGTCAAAAGTCATAATCCCTCATTAGAAAGAAATTGTTTTTTTAGAATTATCGCTTTTATCGAAGTTCAACGTGGTCCCGACCGAAATGCATGCATCTTGAACCGGATTCATAGAAGTGCATCGACGGCTGATCGCGCTTATTACAAGGGCCGAGGTGCAAAAAGCACTCGAGCCTACATAGAAGTTTGCGGAGACCCTTATGTTCCCTCCCCCTTCTCCACAGAGGCGAACGGCACACTGGGAAAACGGCGAACAAGAAAACGGAGCAAATGGGTGACGGAGGGCAGAGCGCCGCTTTTGATGCCGATGTGCCGATGTGGCCGGGGAGAAGTGAGAGCAGTGTCCACGTTCCGCCGTTACTCAAGGCACCCACGGCCGACGCTGCCAGACTTCTGTACGAATCGGGTCAAGGAGGTAATGGAGCCGATGGAGCCCGGAGGAGCCCACCCCTTCGAAAGCACCCGAGGTGCGCGCCTGTGCGGGCGCATTTGCGCAGACAAGCTTGTGGCGTTATTGAAAGTCGCTTAGATCTGCAAGGTTCAGAAAAGTGGCCGGCCCAAGTCCAGAATCGCCAAAGAATTCGACATTGAGACATTGGCTGTTCGACACTGTGCACCCTTTTGCAGAACAAGCAAGGCATACTGGACGAATTCGAGAAGTTTCTCACGCAAGAGAAAGCGCGCCCGCGACTTAAAGATGAAAAAGCGTCAACTGCTCTGCGCACGTCAGATTTTCTCTTGCAAGCATGCTTGCCGAGCCAGTGCACGATTCCCAGAGCTACAGCCATCTCTAAAGGAGTGCGTAAAAACATGTTGGCAAAGTCACCGAGGATAATTTTGATTTGTTCACGTTTGTGACTGCAAACGTTCCCGTCGTTGCTCCTGCCACGAATGCTGCAATCGTAGAGCGTGCATGCAACCAGGGTAAACACGAAGCCACGTCGGAGAAACACCTCCGGAAACGCAACAACTGTGGAGTCGCGAAATATCCTACGGCCGCTTCGAAACAAGAGCGGTGACAGCATTCTTGTGATCCCTGGAGCAGTTCGAGGAGAACTGAGGCCTATATGAAATTATCGGCAAATTTCAGTTAATTGTTTTTTTTTTTTTTTACTCGGTAAAGCTGCCGCAAGTTCTTCATAACTAGGGCTCTGTGCCTTCGGATAAATCTGAAAAACTCAGAGAAACACTCGCCGGTAAAATTTTGGTCAATTCAGATTTATCCGACAAACTCAAAATTTTCATGTGCCAATGCCAATTAGCACAAAAAACAAATAAAGAAAAGATTTTTTTTTTTTTTTTACATTTTGATATGCTCAGGGTCAATGGTCCTGGGAAAATGCCATCATAATTATCTTCCAAATCTCAAACCCTTGTCAAAAGAAGTCTTGCCGCTTGTCTCATCAAGGTTAACTCAGGGAAACAGGTCGTTGTACATTCAGGTCACAACAAAAGCCACTCTTTTGGTTTCCAGTTTGGGCCATGCAATTTGTGATTTAGAGAAAGGAGAGGGTATGTTTCTGGGAGTAACAGTGAAATATGGACCATACAGATTGTATAAAATAGGGAAGAGGGGCAGTTGAAACTTCTCTCCACTCCACCTCGTACGGCTGCGGGGTCGTTGACGGAACAGGATGGAATGACTATGAGCTTCCTAGCGGCTACCTCCGGGAGCTTATTGATTTTAAGGTATCAACGTTTATCCAAGCAACAATTATATGTAACTTTTGTCGTGGGACAAATTAGTATTGCCAATGGCAATGGCACCAACGCCAAATTCAGCTGAAGAAGTTTTAATTTATACAAGCGTGTTTTACTTCTTATCTGGCATACGTCTACATCTAGTTATTATTTATTTATTTTTAATGGGAAACACTGCGAAATTTAACTCCGGATTTCGGAGAATTGAGAATCAAACACAAATAAACTCCGATAAATGGCAAAAAATTAATTCCAAAAAAGATCCTCCAAATTTGATGAAAAATAAACTCCGAAAATACGGAACCCTATTCATAACCAAGGTTCGTTTGACTAGATATACAGTCAGAGCGTTTTGCAATGTTCCTGTACACCTAAAGGCCCGTTCACACTTTTGCAACCGAGTACGACCGAGAGAAACGAGACTTGTTGAAACCTCTTAAAATGTCTTAGGACAAGAGAACATGCTGGCACTCTGGCCCCATCTATGCGGTGACCCTGGAACTGCATTTCACAACAGCGAAGGTTTTGCGGAAATTTTTAGGTCAAATGTGCGTAATATCTATAAGAAAGGCTCGTTTATAACATTGACAGAAGTTTCTCGAGCCAAGAAAGAAAGGATAATGCACAAGAGAAATAGAAAATATGCCGGACTGCTAAGTTTACACTGCTACCCAATAGGTGGCACCAGTGTGTCCTCTCGTTCAGAGCCCCTGCTCCCGTTGTAACAGGTTTCAAGGCACCCAGTTTTAAGAGGTCGCAAGAGTGTGAACGGACCTTTAAAGGCTGTCAGTTATTTGTGGCTCCCTTGCTTTTATCGAATTACCTCTTATATCAAATTTTTTTGCCATCCCATCGACTTTGTTATAATGAGAGATTACTAGGTGCCTATTGGCATTTTATGGTAAAATATGTCTGCCATATGGGACATTAATGCTCTGGTTAATGCTTTGAAAACTTAAATTTATTGATGCATCTTATTCCCTGCAATTCACATCTTAGCTCAGGCATAGCATTTATGAAAGTGATCTTTTGACATTTCAAAATATATTTTTTGCAGCCCACTTTGACATGGCAGAATGACATTCATAAAGCTATAATTCTGCGATGTCATAAAACTATGTATATATTTAGAGGACCATTCAGAAATTTAATGTCTCTTGACTGCAGTCACATTACTACATACATTCCCACAATTACTAATGTTATCCATTTTAATAATGCTGCAACTAGAGACCTAAACATTGTATTGTAATATGTTTGTTTGTTTTTGTTTTCTTTTACTTTTACTACTTTTTGTAAAGCCTTTGGGCCCTCAGAGTATAAATAAATAAATTATAACGCTCAGCAAAATGTAAGCTGCCCTTTGGATGTCTTCCCAGCAGATGCCTTCTCGGTTACTAGACTAGAGCCCATTCAGAGCTAACCTCGATAGAGCAAAGCTATGGATATAGCAAAGCAAAGCTGCAGTATGCTCGTAATAATGTCGGTACCATACATGTTTTCAAAATAAAAATACATGGAAGAGTTTTCCTGAACAAAAAAAAAACAGTCCTTATCACAGAGAGGATCTACTGTAGCACTTCCCGCAGGCCCTGTGATCGTTTGACTACCCCCGACAAAAGAGGGCCCACCTCGATGGACCTCGTGTCTGGCAGGGCTATCACCCCGTAAGGCTTGAGGTCGAGGTCGCCCAGGCTCCTGGTCATGGCCAGGCGCCCGTTCACCAGAGACCGGCCGTGGCTGTCCGAGATGAGCCTCCCACCGGACATCTTGATCCTCTCCTGGGGGACAACGACGGCAAAGGCGGTGAGTTGGCGAGCGATGGGAGAGCGGGACGCTCGGCATGACAAACTTCAAGCTGGCACTTGTGTGTAATCAGTGAGGAGATGAGAGCAGTGTCATCAATCGGCTGGCATTCCGCTTATCGACTTGTGTCCCTGGCTTGTTACCAAAAATGGTTGCGTGCCAGCCACATAGCTAGGGTTCTGTGTTTTCAGAATATACCGATAAACACAGAAAATGATCCCCGAGGCGGTTTTCCCTGAATCGGAAAACACCAAATTTAAACTGTTCTTAAAGAAAAAAAAAAATGGCAGCTTCACGGGATGGAATTTTCTACCAGACTTTTATTTTTATTTTTCTCGTTGACCCAGAACACAATAGCACTGAACTGTCTTTGGGATTGTTCCTTCCAATCAAAACCACATTCAAAACCAGTTTTTTTTTTCTCTCTTTTTTTTTTTTTTGCAGGTTTGGAAAACAAAATTGGGTTGTGGGTATGTTTATACAGCCTGAACTTTGTCTGCCTCAATGGGCTACTTGTCTCTCAGCTGTAGATGAGAAATTTAGCCAGTGTAGTACAATCGCTACCCTGGGATCTTTAACACACACCACGCAGTAGTGAAACACGACTGCACGCCGGTACGATGCTCATCCAGATCAAAACAGGCAGGGGTGGGATTGAACCCAGGATCCCTCGGTTCTGCAGCGCGAGCTTTCGCTCCACGTGCTTTGAGCTGGTGTGCGCTGGCCCACTAGGCCACTAATCCCCCCTTGGAGGTTGGGAAGAGTGCATGTGTGCGGAACCGTCTGGACCAGCTACAGAGACAGTCAGCGCACCAGTGAATTGAGTGGGAAAGGGGAAATGCACATTAGTCTCCATGGGCGGGAAAGGGGGAAAAGGGACCCGAGTGGCTTCGAGGGGGAAAATACAGCAAAAGCAACTGCTTCTTAAGTCTCCATCTGTACTTTTGTATGGTTGCCAAGAAGCGATGAGCAAACCCCCCCCCCCCTCCCCTCCCTCTCCCGACAAGGTTTGCGAAGAGAGCGAAGAGGATGGACTGCCTTCCCCTGATTGGCTACTGCGAAAATCCGAGGCTCTCAGGCCCCATCCGTGTACCCATCAAGATCAATATATTCAACTTTCAGCCGGAATTTCCGGGCCCGGAAAACGTCACCGTAGACATCACAGGCGACGTCCATTCCTCTCTCCCGGATTTCTCCGGGAGACGTTTTGCGGGCAAGTTTGGACAGCCTTTAAAGGCCACCGATCATGCCCTGTTTTCTTCGGCATCCCAAGGCCGGCCCCAGTCCATGTGGCAACCGCTCCAGGTAAGATGAGATTCGGGCGCCCATTCACATGGGCAGAAGGCAAAAACCATGGAGGACTATGTCCATAATTTTGAGGATTTCGAAGTTGAGCAATGGTGTAATTACATTAATTGTGTAACTGTGCACTCATTAATAATGTAAAGTGTTTGGTATGTGTTCAATAAAGTTGTGTAATGTCAGGTGCATTATAAGTTATAATTTTTTCTCCAGTAATTAAACAATCACTTTACAACACAAGCCGAATAATTGTGTAATGTCAGGTGCGTTATAAGTTATAATCTTTTCTCCAGTAATCATACAATCACTTTACAACACAAGCCAAATAAACAATGATTCTTCTCCAGCATTGAAAATACACCGAAAAACACTGATTCTAAGGGAAAGAAATAAACACCGATAAATAACCCCCAAGCTTAAAAAAAAATAAATACCTAAAACACGGGCCCTATACATGTAACAGATTGTGTGGAAACGTGATCAAGCATCGAGACACGCCCCTTCTTCTGCTATTCGGTGCAGAATCCAGAGGGTGCCATCAGACATGATACAGCCAATCGCAAGCGATGGCTTCCTGCGTGGTAACGGAGCCGACCAACGGCAGGCTAGTTTTTGAATGTGTGCGGATTGCACATGAAAAGGGAATGCTCGCAATTGGCTGTCACACAAATGACGGCGCCCTGTAGTTTGTGCCAAATCGCCAAAAAGAAAGTGCCGTGTCACGACCTTTTAATGTTGTTTCTAATGAAGAAAATGATAACATATCAATTGAATCTTGGTGTTTTTTTAGGGTGCTTAGGGCTCATAGATTGACTTATGACCATAGATGATCTCAGAGACCACTTTAGTGCCCCTTTAAATGAGGAGCACCTTATGCCCAAGTGGACTCAGTATTCTGTCACTGATCATTTCTCAGTACTTCAGAGTAGCAACTCATTACAGTCTCGAGCTTGCTTTCCTTTTTCTCTTTTTTGCATAGTTAATAAAAACACTGATAGTGTATTGTCAAAAAAACATGAACACATAAAGAAGAAAAAAGGAACTGAGACTGCCAAGGAACTGTGTGCCTCAACAGTGAAACATGAGTCTCCACAAGTCAGAATAAAAGGTTAAAAGCGTGAACAAAACGGGTACAAGGAAGATACGCACACGACAGGACAGGCACTTAGTCTCAACTGGGTTTTAATAGCAGCACCGTCCCCTATATATACACACATTATTGCTCAACCCGCATCACAGCCAATCTCTTCATCACGCTCCCCTTCTTTTTGATCCTGTTCATCTTTCTCTGGTGCAAGCTCACAATTCTGTTGCACTTGATTTTCTTCCAGTTTCACTTTGCATCGGAGGCATCGGAACTATTCAGGTGACGGGAGACCGACGGCGAATTCACCCCCGTTCTGACACCACTGCTTTGCATGAAGTTCAGAGTTTGTAATCTTGCACCGCGCAGCATGACTGCGGTGACCCAATAACCATTGTAAGATGAGGCCTGCTCATTACCCCAATGTTATTCGATCCCCGACTCGCAGCAAACGTGCTGAAGCCCCACGAGCGCGTGCGGCGAAGTGGCAGACGTGTGACTTTTAACATTGTCGCACGCTAGCGACGCACCTGTCGCAAGATGCGACAAGGTGTGCTCACGACGAAACAGATGCGAGATGGACAGCGCTGGGTGGATCCAGCGATGATTAGGGTTCCATGTTTTCAGTTAATATACTGATAAACCCTGATAACTAGCCCCCGTGCCCGTTTTATCAAAATCGGAGAAAACAGAAAAAACCTCGAATTGGAGCTGTCCTTCAACAAGAAGAATGTAAGCTTCAAGAGAAGGTGCTTTGTTTTGTGTTGACCCGTAATACTGCTACCACTGATCTCTCTACGAAACTGCTTCTTTATTTGGAACCATGCCAGCTGTCTCGTTCCCTTCACTCATCGGTACAAAGGTGTTTTACAAGTATTTGGGTCGGGCGTACATTCACCAGAGGTCGAAAAATTCCATGCACGTGTCTTATTTCCTTTAACTTTATCCCCGACAAACCCCGAATTTTTGTCGAACAGAAAAAATTAACTGCAAAAACACTGAATCTGTGGGAAAAAGTAAACCCCCAAAAAACACCTTCGAATTGAAAGAAATATAAACACCAAAAAAATGAAGCCCTAATGGTAATGTTATAGGAGCAAAAGCCCTGTCTTCTAGGTAGCACTGGGAGTGTTACACCGCACGTCGGTGCAAACTTCACCAATTTCCACCGGCATGTGCGTTGAGCTACACTGCTTCGCACCGGCGTGCTAGAAGCAGCGTTTATGCAAGGGAAGCGGCTGGATTAGTCCCTAGGGGTCGGAAATTTCGCTCACTACTACAGACTGACATTTTTTGGTTATGACGATGGAATATGACCCCTAACGTTAAAAAACAGTTCTAAAAAAAAAGGCAAAAAGAAAAAGTTTACAATTTTTTGTAATGCCAAATTAGAGCGCAGCTCTTGAGGAGGAGGAGGGTATGCCCCTCTTCCTCCTCCTCCCCTCCTTCCCCTCTCTCGTGAAAGTCAATCGTGGGGGCCTTGTGAAGGTCACTGTGAAGGTCGTGACCTTCGTGACATCACTCGTGACCTTTGTGGCGTCGTCCCTAGTGACATCACTTGCGACGTCATTATGGGAAACGTCCCATAATGCAATGCACGCTTACGCCGACGGAAACGCTGATGAAGCCGGAAACGGGCGCCTAAAAGCTGCGCTCTAAAAAACATTATTTTTGAATAAATATGGGAGTCCTCCACGGCCGTGAAAGTCCACATGTTGCTTTCTCTCTCTTCCATAGACCCCAAAAGTGTTAACGGTCGTTGAGCAATCTCAGAATGTTCGTTTCTCGACTGCAGACCCCCAAAAATTCTACCAATGGGGTTTTACCGCAAAATACTAGAAACAAACCAAGACTTGCAAGACTGTGCACCATGGCCACTTCGTCACACGTATTCGGGCGGTCCTTTACTTTCAACACTGGAAATGCAGTTACATCCCTGAAAACCCTTGCAGCCATCGCAACGATGCATTTAGAGTTCGGGAATCAGTCTCAAGAACCAGCACTTTGTGATGCCCTGAAATGATTAAGACAGGTAAAGCCACTAATTATGCTATGCTCAGAGTATCAGCACTCTATTCACCATATTCCCCCTAACCCAATTTTGGCACTTAGTGCAGAACGGGATCAATTGGCAGTCGCTAAAATATGAAAATGCAACTTCCCGAGCCTTAGACACACTGTTAGAAAGTTCAGGCAATATGTTTTGCTTTTTAGCAGACTCTCTGCCCTTCTGAAGTATTCAAAAACGTTTTCTGTGGCTTCAGATATAAAGGTTTGGATAACTGACAGCAATAAATTTAAGCACAACAATAGCCGAAGTGTCGTTACTTTGACGCAGCAGTTCTCTCTCTAACTGTGGTCCGCAGACTCCCAGGGATCCTTGAGAGTATTCATGGGGGTCCACGCCAAATTGAAGAAACGTTTTAAAAAAAAAGGTCCTCCTACTGCTTCACACGAGACTTGTGGCGCAGAATGCATCAGGGGGTCCGTGGGGTCCATGACGGCAGAAGCTTGAGAACCGCTGCTCTAAGGGATGACTTATTTACCGACCCTAGTGCCAGGGCCAAAAGAGTGACACGCAAGAAACCCAATTCAGTCAGAGACGAGTCCCCCCCCCCCCGTGCCCCGCCAAGGCCGAGCAGCCGAGAGTCCACAAGCGCAAAAGGGGAGCGCTTACCTCCTCGAGCTTGAGGCCGGCCTGGTGGTCGGTGGTGAGCCTGCGCACCTCCCCACTGCGGCACAGCAGGGCACGGCTGTCCCCCACGTGGGCCACCACCAGCTCCGTGCTACTCCTCAGGAGGCAGACCGTGGCCGTCGTTCCAGAGGATGCTTCCTCCCCGTCTACGGCCAGTAGAAGAAAACACCAAAATTGAAAGCTTTTCCCTAGACGCCGCCCTGGCATTGCGGAACCCAAACCTTGACCAATACCACGCCACGTGCGTGCGTCCCACGAAACGCACGATTTGCCCGTCGACAGAGAGCCGGCGTCGGTTTCACCATTACGATCGTCCCACCCCTTACGTTCATGGAGGTAAGACGCTTCTGGAGATGACATGACGCCGCCAGAAGTGTGGAAGGACACGCCCCCAATGATGACCAAAACAGTGTTTCGGTCATCGTTGGGGGCGTGTCCCTCCACACTTCTGGCTACACCTGTGGTGGCGTCGCGTCGCCTACAGAAGCTGCCTACCTCCATGCTTAGGTTATATGTCCCTCAGTGCACACTCCGGAACAAAGGAAATAATTGTGCCATGTGTATGTTTGGACAGCAGGAAGTTATAGTCAGTCCCAATGGGCGTCTCCACTGCAAACAAGAAATTTAGCCAATGAAAAGTATGACTGCTAACCCGGGGGTCTTTAATATGCACCGCGCATTCGCGATACACGGCCACACGCACGAGATGGGCTGGGGTGGGTACATAGCCCAGGATCTCTGGATTCTGCAGTGTGGGCTTTCACTTCACGTGCTCAGAGCTATGGCATGTTAACGCACTCAGCCACAGATCCCCCCTCCCCTCTCGGTGGAAGCAGCGAAGCAGACGGGCCAAAAGAAACGAAAGCATGAGGGAGAGCTGGTCTTGGTAACGACGGGGTTCAAATGTTTCCTTCCTTCTTGCCTGCCTCAACGTTCCAAAACCAGGAAACCGAGGTTTGTATTTCTACCTCTTGTCATAGCGAGGAGCTAGAAAGATGTCCGGTTAACATTGGTACTGCCTTAACTTTTAAAAATCACTAAATAAAAATTAATTTTCTTTAGAAAAAAAAGTTTTTAAATTATTTTAGTTGTTCTCCCAGGCAATGTTTGCATTATTGCAGAGCATGATGTTGCCGTATGTTTTTTGTTCTTTTTCAAAAAATGCATTAGTCGCATTAGTCTCTCATCCCTTTCGCCGGATGAAAATGTTCTCTGACAAAGCTGATTTCAAACAATGACCAGTCTCCTTTTATAAGTATGAGGCACTTGGCTACCGCTGGAAAACCCGGTGCTAAAAAAAGCAGTGTCTTCCTTATGCAATCTAGAAGCTACAAAGTTCAAATGCATGTCGATACTGTGCATTCTAGATTGCTGGAAGAGGGTGTTTCTGCCCTCTTCCATCAGAACACTAAAGGACTGACCTCGCGATAGATTTTGAAGTGTTGGCAAAGGGTCTCATGCAAAGATTGGTAATAATGAAAATCTTAGCTGCATGTGTTTGTCCTTCATTTTATGCGTCTTCCTTCTTCTTTTTATAGTCTTGGGTTTTACTTATGGTTGCAATTCACCAGCCCGCCTGCACACTCACACTTCTTTTGGAAATATTTCCACTGTAAAACTTGCATTAAAAAAAAAATAGGGAGGCGTGTAGCAAGTGCTGTCCAAGCTGAATGTGAGCATTTGGCACTACTTTTCCATGCGAGTCTATGCTATAGAGCAGTGGTTCTCAAATGGGGGTCAGAGCACCCTTTCGGGTCTGCGAAGGCATTCTAAGGGTGCGCAAAGCCTTGCCTCATCAGTCAAGCCTGGCAATAAAAGTAGTATTTTTTCAGATTGAGCAGAAACATTTCAATTTCCAGGTGAGTTTTCTGGTGCACATGTCAATCAGAGAAGTGTACTTCACACTAGTCCTTAATTATTTCCACTTATTAAAAATCATTATCATAGTTAACCTGTACATTTCCCTTAACCTCACCCCAAACAGGGTCCCCCATCACCTCTGCCGATCCACAAGGGGTCCAGAAGCAACACTGGTTGAAAACCACAGCTGTAGAGTAAGACAAAATATTGGCATTCATGGTTTTCCCTTTACTTTTAATTTTGCATGAAAATGTTTTGCCTAGTATGTAAAAGTGTGCTTCCAAATGTATGGATGGCACAGGATACAACTTGAGATCCTTTATTCAGGATCATGTCTGTCATATGCATGTGAGTTAAGAAGCCATGTTTTCACATGTGGGGATACGCCCACTTGTTTGGAAAATAAAATCTCCTAGCATCAACCCTGAGCCCATTAGGAAACCAAAAAACAAGTCATCTTAACAAAACAGTTTGATACAAGTGGAAGAGAAAACAAGCATTCAGTTTCGTCTGAAATTGTGGGTACAAGCTAACAGCAGTCACCTTCAGAGCTAAAAATGCATATGTGCACTTGTTTCATACGGGGTGTTTCTTGAAATACCAGCCAAATCGTTCCTCCAGAAAGTATGCATCACACAGAAAGAAAGTTAATGTCGTACTTGTCTCTGCCAAAGGGCTTATTAAAAAAATACAATAATAATGGTCAGGATAATTAGGTTGTGAATTATTTTTGAGCAATTAACTTTTGAGTCAAAATATTTGAAGTGTCAGTCCGAAAATTGCTGCGCATTGTCGATAATTACTACATCGACCCACTTTAGAAAAATATATGGCATGTGCAGAATTTTACGGTATTCCACACACAACACTAGTAATTCTAAACAGGTTTCCAAGTTTCAATTTTTTATCGGAGTGCATCTTTGCACCAGCGGTCCTATTCCTCATGGTCAAATTGCGCACCTGACGTGCCTCACCACTCATTCCTCAAATGACGGAGGTGAACCCAAGAATCAAAGCTCAATTTTGCAATGTCATTTCAACAGTACAGCGTTTTATTTTGCCTAATAATGCAAGCAACACTTCCCCCTCTCTAATGAGGGATGCAAGGCGGTACTTGCATGTCTGGACCACGGGGAGCAAGACTGAACCCGCCAAGATGTGTTCCTATATGAACCCAACACTTAAAATCTCATTCAAATCGAGTAGGTACTTTCTTGGAACTCAGTAAAATGCCGTGCATGCCTTGTATTATCGTGAAGTCCACTGATTTAGTGGTTTCCAATGATGTTCAGAAAGTTTCTAATCGAAATTATACCTTGAGATTTACTATAGTCCATTGCAACTCTAGAAGGTAGGGTGAGGAAAAGGAAGCCAGGGCAGAAGGAAGCAGAAGAAACGCTAAAGAGAGGAGGAGGCTTCCCCCTCTCCTCTCCCGCATTCCATCTGCTTCCTCGTCCCCGGCCTTCCTTTCCCTCGCCCTACCTTCTTAAATTGCAGCAGACTATAATCAGGAAGTTAATTATTCCAAAGTGATTAAAGCCCTAATTATTCCAAACATTATTCATTTTCCTAAATACACCCCTTGGCAGAAACCCGATCTGACATCTAAGCTTTTTTCTGTGCGATGCATACCTGTTGTTCGAACGACCTGGCCGACGTTTCACGAAATGCCCTGTACACACCCACAAGCTTCCACTGTGCTTATTTTGCACCATCAGACTTGTTGTTGCCTTGGAAAAATTTTTAACAACCTAACATGCAGAAAAAAAAGTTGGAAGTTGCACAAAACCAGGCCAATTGAGTCATCATTTTATAATTATTTACCTACTACAGGTATCATTGCATTTAAAGCTGAATTAAACGTCCCTCTTCTAAGAGGCCAAAGAAACATATCATGTCTCAAATTCATTAAGTCTATTACTGTTTCCCTCCAAAAAACAAATTGCATATTATCTGACGGTGTTTTGCATCTCCACTCACACAGATCGCCCATTCAAAACTCCTGGTTACACGTAAGACCAACAAATTCAAGCTTTTTTGACATTATAAATGGCTATGCATGTCTAGAAGAATCTACCTGAACTCATTGTTTGCATCCCAGAAGATGATAGTTTCCATCCGGCATTTCCACTCTCCATGCCATTGAACATCATGTTTGTATTTTTTTTTAATATCCTAAAGTTCATTCTATATTGCTTTATTTTATTCTTCAGCTTTGCCCCCTTTTATATAGGGGCACTAGAGTGGTTTCTGAGATTGTCTATGGTGCCACAACTCATTCTATGGGCTCTAAGCTTTCTAAAAACCCAAAATTAGATTGATATGGACCTGATTTCCTTATTAAATCGGAATCAAAGATTGTGACACACCCATTCTTCTGCAATCCGGCACAGAAACCAGAGAGGGGCATGCAACAGCCAATCGTCATCAATCACTTCCTGCTCACGAATCGCACACATTCGAAAATAAGTCCGCCATGGGTCGCCCCCTTCCCGTGCACAGTGATCGCTCACAATTGGCTGTTGCACATCTGATGGTGCTTTCTGGGTCCCGCATTAAATCAGAGAAATAAGCGTGTCGCAATCTTCTATTTCTTTTTTAACTAAGGAAACTGGATGTGTATCAATCTTATCTTGGGTTTTTTAGATTGCTTATTGGCCATAGGTTAAGTAATGACCATAAATAGACACTCTAAGAAAACACTTTAATGCCCCTTTAAAGGAGCCCGAGGAGGTTTCAGAGATCGCCGAAATATGATGAGATAACTTCGGTGTGTTGCGATCTTCCATTGCTTTTTTAATAGGAAAATTGGTTGCGTATCGTTGTGATTTCAGGACTTCTAGGATTCTTAGAGCCAACAAGGTGAGTTATCGCCATCATAAATTATCTCAAAACCCTCCTCGGGGTCCCTCCTTTAAAGGTGAAAGAAATTAAATAAAATTAAACATCCGAATGGTACCTTATGAATCCAGCCAGTACTGAAAAGAGATCATGTGATTGGTAAAATGAAAATATGGCCTGGCGTAACAACTCACCTGGCCAATTGAAAGCCACAAATTTGGCGAAGGCATTGTTAATGTCAATGAATGCCGACTGGAGCAGTGCCTGCAGGTCTGACTGCCCCCTCTGCAGCCAGTACAAGATGTGAGTCTCCATGTGTTCCGCGCAGAAATCTGCGCAGGCAGAGCCTCCGTGCCCATCGAAGACCGCAAAGTACAGGAGGTTTGGCATAAGTTCCTTGACCCTGCAATTAAAGTTATGCATGTCACCTAGGAAAATAATATCAGAAATATTTAGAAGCCAATATGCCCAAAATCAGCCAGGTTAACATACCAAAGTACAGAAAAAGTAGCCACGATTAGTTTGGTTCAAAATATGGAAGAAAGCAGACTGTTTTTTCTCGCCTGGGAGGAGTGCCGTCAGGCAGCACACAAGATGCTCCATTTCCCTATCGACACGAAGGTCAGATTTTTACATCCTTCAATATTTCGTGCTTCTTTTGCTAACAATAAAAGATTTGTAGTTACAGCATCAGCTACACTGCCAGTGGAATGTTGAGTAACTCAATGTCGAACCAACATCTAGGATTTGCAAATCATTTCCAGGTGTTTGATGCAATTCGTGCAAAAATATATAACAGATTTCATTCTGTTAATAGTTCTCAGGGCGATACTGGGCACACCGCTATGTACCACGGTATGTTTTCTGGAACATCCATAACAGCTGGCTCGGAAAGACCAGAGATGACATCTTGATCAATCACAGGTGGCAGTGAAATTTGCCGGATGCTGTCGGCCATTGTTGAATGTTTTTGGCAGTTTGATACTTTAGCCCCATATTCCAGATAAACACCAGCCATCGGATGGCCAAAACAAGATGCTTTTCGTGTAACACTCGTAAAAATGTTAGGCACTAGAAAAAATCAGCCATCTGCATTAAGTCCTTATTTCTAACCCTTTCTGTTCACGTTCGGCCCATTGAAAAGCATGGCGAAAGAGCCCAAGTATGCAACTGATCTCACTACATCGCCGTCTCCATCCGCACAATAAAGTCCGTCTGCTATGGTCACCAAATATCAACAAATGCATCCACAAATGCAGCCTCTGAAGCCAGCTACCGCATGTGGTCTGCCACCACATTGAGGCAATGCTTGGACTCCAAACTAGGCTGCCAAACAAACCGCGTTATGCACGGTCAACCCTCGCTTCGCTCCACTCTGCTCAGGGAAACTTTAATATAATCTCAGGCCAGAGCATGCACCAAGCCTCGTCAGAACTGCCAAGGGTGGCAACAGTTTCCCACTCTCAGTGTCGGCCTCCACAATGGTGCGTCCGACTTTGGCTAGTGCTGCGGTGCTCACGTTAGCAGAAGACATTCAGAGGATGGTGTCTGCTGTGGCTGGCTTCAGTCGCTGATTCCGTGCACTCCTCCATCAAGAAGTTGTTTCGTTTTCATTATGATTCTGACCTCAGCAGATGAACTTTTTTTTTTTTGCAGGAGACAGCAGGATGGCGACAGAGCCGTTTATACTGAGAGAGTTTGGCCTTCTTAAGGAGATTTTGACAGTCTGACAACCACAGCAGCGTAGTCTGACAACCGGGGGATGACTACTTCCGTCCGCCATATTGTGGATCTGACTCATAGGAACTCTACGCGATTTCTCAGGAATGAACAAGACAAAGAAGTAACGCCATATTGTGTTATCGCGAAATCCGCTTGTTCTAGCGGCCAACAAGCTCCGCCCATCGGCCAAACTCTCTCAGTATAAACGGCTCTGGATGGCGAGATTGGGTGTGTGCTTGAGCTCTTTCTCCGTGCTTTTCGATGGGTGAAACATGAACAAAACGAGTTTGAAATAGGGACTAAAAGCAGATGGCTGATTTGCTCCAGAGCCTGATATTTTGACGAGCCTTACACAAAAAGTAAGTTCTCAGCACGCAATTTTGACTAAGTTTCTAGCACTGCGACATGGGACAAAACCACCGATGTGCCATGCTTTCTTTTTAAAATGAAAGCAGGGTAAAAGCATGTTCGATTTCAGTACAGTACACAAATTCAAGGGACAAATTGTTACAGAAACCTGTTCCTAAGTCAGTTTTCAGAAACGAAGTGTTTCGCTTCCTTTCAATATCCATCACGCAGTAGTAAATGAGCATGTATGTGCTATGCCCGTCTATAACGACGCCACCAGTCAAGTGCGAGCAGTAAGCTCGTGATGTTAAGTCCGCACCACAAGATTTTTACGGTATTGATGCTCCTCGTGTGCACGCACCACCGATCCACGGACCAAACACTTCCGTGGAGCGATACTGACGCGGTCATGCGTCCCTACCTGTATCTGTCCTCGTTGTATGTTCGCCTGCCGAGCAGCGTCGCGCTGCCGGCATGCTCTCCCGATATCCTCGGCACAGGCTTGCCGACTTTGATGCTCTGTTGCAAGAGCAGCGGCAGGTCGATCCGGTTGTCCCACGTTCCGAGCGTATCGAAGTTGATGTGCTGCTGACGTTCGCCAAGGTTCTCGGGGTCGGATAGCACCTGCTTCTCGCGCACTGACAGCCGAAGTGGTCCGCTCAGGACATCTCGGCAACGCCAGACCCGGGCCGGGCTGAGCCTCAACAGGAACAGTGACATGCAAAAGGATCCGTTGGTTGAACCCGCCGCTTGCTGGACGACTTGCCACCCGCACTCTTTGTTGGGATGACTATCGACAACTCGTAGTAAGCCCCGCAGCCCCGAAGCACGGAAATCGATGTAAACAAAGTCAAGTCAAGGACTCAAGGTGATGTAGTGACGTCGGGCAAGTCAAGCATCAGACAGCACCGTACCACCGTACGGTCAAACATACACGGCCCTGGGTCAAACCGCGGTCAAACCACCGGACTGCACCGGACGACTCCTACGTTGGACAACAAGACGTCAAGCAAGACGGCGGCATCAACGGCGTCCCAGAGTTCTTTGCGTGGCCGCAGCCGCAGCTGCAACTACAGCGCCATATGCAGCCCAACGCAGCCTTTCAGTGCATTGCGGTGGAGGCGTGAACTCGCTCCTGTAGACATCTATGAATTGCTCGCGAGGGGAGCATTTTGGCGCTGTCTGCCTCTGGCGCTGCTGGCGTGTTTAGGTTAGAGTGCCTCAATGTTGCTTTGAGCCAACAACATTGAGGCACTCTAGTTTAGGTTAGAGTAACTGCAGAGCCATAAATGTCTGAGTAACTGTATATGCTCCGCTTGCAAGCAGATCAAGCAGATACAGTTACTCTAGTTTAGGGAGGCCAGGGAGGCTCTCGTAGACGTTGTGCGGTTCTGCTAGCGTTGCAGAGGCTGGCGGTAGCGAGTTGTAAACACGTGTTCTGCTTGTTTGATGTCATTCGCCGAGGAAGGTTTTTAAGACTCTGTGTAACCATTGAGACTTGCCGTTGTGAATACGTGGAAATTTTTACGAAAGCGCAGCGCCACAGTAAAAAGGCACAACTTGCCCAAGGCAAGTTTCGCCGGCCTTGCGGTGGGTTCAAACCTTCCTTGGCACGCCGAAGTGCTGCGTCTCTGTGCCTTCGCACGCTTGGATGCCGATCAAGATTCGTTTCGGCGCCGTGTGGATGTGTTTTGCGAGTGCAATGTGCGTGAAACCGTATGTACCTCTGGTCAGCATTTTACTTTTACTTGGATTTGGCATTTGGTATTTGGCCGTGTTCCAAGATTTACTCGCTCTTACTCCAGGGCAGGGCCATAACCAGGGGGGGGGGGGGGGGGGGGGGTTGGGGATTCTGACCCCCCCCCCCCCCCCCTCGAAATTTTTTTCTGGGTATGGCCCTGGTCGGTGCACTTGCAGCCAGCCATTTTAATCTCCACCTCTGCGCACGCGCAGTGGCGCCGGTCCGCTACCGGGTACCAAACCGGGACCGGTTCTCCGGTTTGCTATAACTCTCCATTATATGCCACCGATGCACATGATTCATAGGCGAAAATAAGACAATAGACATTTTCAAAATGGCCACCGTTGTCCCCAAACCCCCCCCCCCCCCCCCCCCCCCGAAATTTTTTTCTGGGTACGGCCCTGCTCCAGGGTAAGGGTTTTGTACCTTGGCGTTCTAAAACCTACCTGCGTCCAGCGCTTTTCAATCTGAGTTGTCACGTGACACGTACGATCTTAGGAGTAACTCGAATCCATTCGGGTGAGATTTGGAACACAGCCTATGTAACTTGCGGCACTTGCGGTCCAGAAACGAGCTTGATCCAGCGTCCAGTGGCGACGGAAGAGGGGGGGGGGGGGGGGGGGGGGGGGGAGCGGAACCAGCGAGGCGTTTTTTTGTTGTTGTTGTTTTTTTTTTTTTGTTTACTAGACGCTTATGGCAATCAAATCAGTAGTACAAAAGACACAGAGACGCAGCATTTCGGCGTGCCAAGGAATGCTTTGAACATGCCGCGAGACCGGCGAAACTTGCTTTCGACGAGTTGTGGCTTTTTCCTGCTGCACTTCGCTTTCGCAAAGATTTTCACCTGTTTTCAACAGCAAGTCTTAACCCTTACAGAGAATCTTATAAATCTTCTTCGACGAGTGACAACGAACAATTAAAAAACGTGTCTTCAGCACGCTGCCGCCAGCCTCTGTAACGCTAGCAAAGCCGCAAATCGTCTATGAGCAAGATGGCCGTTTGGTGGCTTCACTCGCGGGAGCAGGAAGCGCGATCCAGAAATGGTCATTGAGATCCTTGAGATCGTTGAGATCAGCGCTTTTCTTGGCAATGCAGTGGAAGGTACGTCCCGCGTCCCCTCTCCCATTTTGAGTGTGTGCAGGCTCTCCTCCCCTCCCCGAAAATGGGGGAGGAGGAGAGCCTGCGTACACTCAGAATAGGAAAGGGGACGCGGGACGTACCTTCCACTGCATTGCCAAGAAAAGTTGATCCCTCCTTGGCTAGATCCCTATGCTAGATCCAGAGCAGGACGTGTAACATGTAATATCTAGCCTTTATATGTGTTATTAAAAATTTGAAAACAAATTAAATTGAATTGTGTTAATTTATTTTTATTTTTATGTGATTATTAAAGTGTTTTTTTTTTTTTATGATGCACTTTGTTTACTACTTTTGGGAGAAAAAGGGGTAAAACGGAATAGCAAAGACGATGTTGTCTTCGGTTGCCTTCTTCAGGCAACAATGATTTCGCATATTCGGCCGCCATCTTGCGTCTGTCTCAGCAAGTTCTTTCTGTCCCCACGTGCGGTACGCGTCGGTACCGTTTTCTTTGACGTCTCTCCCGAGTCTTTTGTGTTCAGCCCCCTATTAGATTTCTACGATGCCTCCCAAAAAGACAGCAGTGAAAGCACAACCCGCGGCAGCGAAACCGGCGGTAAGTGGGGTTTACAACCTCTTTAATTAGCAAATTCGACGGTAACCCACGTGCATCGATAACGCTGCTCTGGGCCGATCGTGACGGCGGCTTATTTTACGTATATTTTGTGTTCCTCGGTTCCCGCTCCGGCGCAGGCAAAAAGCCAGAAAACGGTGAAAAAAGTCGCCGATGAAGACGAGGAGGACGACGACGACATGGAGGATGACGATGAAGAAGAGGAAGCTGACGCCGGTAAGCTCGACCGTTCCTTTCGCGCGGCTTTCGCGGTGCCGCGTTTGCGTTTAGGACTACTTTCGCCATTAGGCCTTTGAACGGATGTTCGCAGTCTTTTGATCGATTGCTGTTCGGCGTTGTAATGTTTCTCTCGAACACGGCCTAAAAATACGGCGTTCTTTCCTCGCGCGTGAGAATGTCCACTTATCGATGGCGTGGCAGCACGAGCCTCCACGCGGCTCCGTCGCGTTCCCTGAACCGGCGAAGGCTGCTCGCCCGATTCGTTGACGATGGCTCGCGATGCTGTTGCAGTACTTTTGCGCCGCACAGGTGGACGGAATGGCCTACGCTTTCTGGCTTCCCGCTTTTCGCGTTTCTTTTGTTTTTCATCGTATTGTGATCTCCGGCTCATATTGGAAAGCGCATTTTGCGCTGTGCGCTTTTACGTCCATCTGCGGGCTTCTGAACGGTTGAAGGGCGCAGCAGATATTGCTGCTCTATTGATGATATTCCGAAATCGTGTGAATACTGGCCGTTCTTTACCGCACTTCGCGGCCGAACAGAACCCAGGACGCGTCGTCTGAGGCAGAACCCTTTCCCTCCTTACTGGATCTTTGGGCGAATATTTTGACGTCTCGTCTTACTGGGCGTTGAAATATGTCGAAGAGCGACTCGGCGCTTATTCGCCTAGTGTATCTGGCGACCTGGCGTGGCTGCGTTCACCGCTCTATCGCATGTTATCAGCACTTGTCTCGCAGCAGGTTCATCAACATGAAAGCATCACCTGTGTATAAAGCGCATGCAAACAGTATGTAAATGGCACGGACGCGCTACGAACGTCTGGCTCCACTACTTCTTCGCAGTTGTAGTCATTCTATGGCACATTTGGAATCAGTTCATGATATGTGGCGGTGGTTTGTACCATATTTGACGCTATAACATGCGTTCGAGTGATTCATTCCACAGGCCTAAAGCAGCCATTTTTTTTTTTTTTTTCTTTGCTGTGAGACAGGTCTGTGGTTGATACCCCTTTGCATGGGGGAGGTGTATGTGATTGTGCATTCCTTTCACACAACATAAATAAATGTGTACTGATACTGACGAACAATAGAATGATGACGAGGTGAACATTGCTGACAGATTCAAGAACACAATGTCTTCCGTACACAATGTTTAAATAAAAAAAAAAAAAAAAATCTAACATGCTCAGAAGTAGAAACTGGAGGGCACTTGTGTCACTTGAAGGCTTCCTTATTTTTACCATTTGTTAAAAAATTATCCGGGTGGCTACACTTTATTTTTCACTTCACGTCTGAACAGGTTCACATCTTTTGCGGTTGGGCCCACTCCGCCCCCGAGTTTCGGTTCTTAGTCTTGCTGTCGGGCCATTAGTTTGCCCATCGTAACTTGCATTCTCTCTGCAGCATGAATGGATAGGTGCTCCACGAAGTAGCTGTTATAAGCATCACAAATGTGTCACTTTTTTAACTTTTGTTCACTGTACAGTTTTGAACACGTATGACAGGCAGACACTAACCCTGGAATATGTCTCTTTTCTTCTCTAAACAGTGGCACGTGAGTGTTTGTGTTCACCATCTTTGTTGCGGCATTGGACGGGCGTTCTGAACTGCCGGCGTACCCGTAGTTCCTGACTTGGTGCCATTGCCTGCCTTTTTCAGCTTCAGGCATGGACGAAGAGGTAGAGGAGGAGGAGGACGAAGAGGCTGAGGAAGAAGAGGAGGAGGAGGCCAAGCCCACCAAGGCAAAGAACGGCCTGCAGGCAAAGGGTGCGGCAGCCGCAGAAGCAGACGAGGACGAGGAAGAAGAGGGCGATGAGGAAGAAGAGGAGGAGGAGGAAGAGGAGGAGGCAGAAGACGAGGACGACGAGGGAGAAGGTAAGTTTTCATCCGAAGTGTGCACTTCATGGTTATATATGCCCAGCGTACCTGATGTGCGCTTTCGGTTTTCTTTCCCTTAGGCGATGCACCCCAGAAAAAGAAGGGAGCTGCAGCCACACCTGGTTCCAAGGGTAAGGGGCGATGCTCTCAACTAGTCACCTAAATTTTAAAGAAAAAAAAAAAAAAAAAAGAATTTCTTGTATGTTTGGTCGAAGGTTGTTGCCAAGAGGTCTAGGAGCATCTTTCAGCATTTGTTCTAACTCTGATCTACTCCGGTCTTGCTGCACCACCTCTTCAGATCCTCAGTGGGCAGTTGGCACTTTGGCAGGCCATGTTTCATTTATAGTAGTCGAATAGCGCATTTTGAAACTTTAATCTAGCTGTCAGTTTTGTTCACGTTTAACCAGGTGATTTCACACTATTTCCTCCTTTCTGAAATTGTGTTTAACGTACAGTATATATATTATAATCATTCACCTAGTCAAGTGAAGTGGTCTTTTTTTTTTTAATGCACTGTTTTTTAAAATATGAGAGGGTAATTTGTGCATTCAAATGCAGGCTTAATATTTTAAGAAAATATTTTCTTTTGCTGTAGCATCAGACAAGTACTAATCCAAATTCACTTTCCCTTTACTCCTATTTCACTGGATTATGTTGTCTTACAAAGTTTGTACAAGACAGGAGGTTTCTTTTCCTCTTCTCTCCGCTTCACACTGGAAGCGGATCCGCGTGTTCTCAACCGCAAGGCGGCTGGGATCGGTCGGTTAAAGTGCATTTTTGCCAGCCGCTTCAGGACCGATTTGCCCGAACCGCTTTCGCGAACTGTGAAGCAGCAACCAATACGATGCTGACATGACGTTGGTGGCTCTTGAAACAAGGTGGGATCTGTCGCTAGTGAAGCATTCAAGGTGCTGTAGTTCTAGCGTTGCGCCAGGCAAATCGACGAAGAAATGTGATGTTCACGTTTGTCACTTGAATCTGCCACAAAAGGAGTTGACTCGTGAACGTGACGGGCTTCACTCCGGTAGTTCGGTTTGGGTAAGAGTTTGTGTATTATTCGGGTTGCCAAAGCCAGTTGCTCGCTGCCTTGTTAGTCTTTGCCCGTTGAACGCCGAAACCCACCCTTGATCGTCCGAAATTACAGTTCTTGTACCCACTAAGACAGTCGCAGGAACTACTGAAAGCTTGTGACGCTGTGCATGACCATCACGGAAGTCAGTAGAGACACAGTGTGAGCCCAATTGCATAGCCAACACACTATTACAGAGCTGGCAGACTACCTGCGTTAGCTTAACTTGTAACTTTGACTACTACAAAAAAAAATAAAGGGAACCTACTCAGGAAATAAAGTGTACGTACCAGGCGATGCAGAGGTAATCTATATGGTGTTTATTTGAGCTTAATGTCAGACAAACGGTCGACTTGACTGACGTTCAAATGACGAGAGGAGAGCCCGCCACCAACAAAGCCACGACCAGCTAGCACCGAACACATGCCACGCATCTCGGTCCACTAGCGCTGCTCACTACTCGGAAAGTGATAAAAGCGAACGACGAGGGGGGGGGGAGGGGTGAACTGCCCCTCTATCCTGAAAGCCGGGTCAGCTATTCATGCGGGAAGACTCCACTCCGAAGATGGGGTAGGGGGCATCCTGTTCCAAGTCAGCAAGGCACACCTAGCTGGGTTTTGCTTGTGGGCAAAGTCTAGGGAATTGCAGCTCGAAGAAAAATATTCAGAGTGCCAAAATAGCTCAATTTTGGCTTTGGATTGTGGATTAAACTAAGTTTTTGATAGTAAATGTCCAAAGGGGGTCGCTCGCGAACCGCAGCTGCTTCGCAAGCACAGCTCGACCGCCAGTGTGAATGCGCCATTAGACCAAAGCTCGCACGCCCACGTATAGACAACATTTCTGGGAACGCTGGGGATACCATGGTTCCCACTCGGGAACGCTTCTTGCACTGGGGATCCTGCTACATCACCTGCTTCTGTTGCGCTCTGTCTCCTGCAGACAAGAAGAAGGCTGGCAAGGCCGGCCAGGAGGCTTCTACGCCCAAGACCGGCAAGCGAAAGGCAGACGATGACTACAGCGGAGGCGGCAGCGATGCCAAGAAGCTCAAGCTGGAAGGCAAGTCTCCTCCGCTTTGCCCTTTTCATCCGCATGAAGGTTTGTCGCATCACTTTGTCGAGCTGTTGTTTCTGACAGTGCTTTTTCTTCTGCATTGCAGATTACATTCCAGAGTCTTGCATTGATAGCCTAGGTGAGTGATAACTGTCATTCTTTTACTGCTTTTTTTATTATTGTTTTTGTGGTTACGTGGCTAACCTGAGTTCCCTTTCCTGTTCGCTGCAGAAAAGAAAAATAGCTGCAGTCTAATCATCACATTGGGTAGAGATGCACGGGCTTCTGACATCACAGACATCTCGGGAGACATCATCAACCTGGCACTGAAGGGAGAGTGAGTCTCCTTTTATTCTTGTTTTTGTGGCATCCAGTATACACCTTTTTACTTTACAATGGACTGCAGCAGAAGCTACGAGCCATCCCAGCCGATCCAGCACTTAATCTATCGAGCGATTGCGTATGCGGCATGTTGCTGGCCCCTCACAAGGGTTGCGTGACGCCGCATTGGATTGGCTGCTGTGGCTTGTAGCATATACTGCGGTCTGTCGTAAGGTGAAATGGCAGCTCACCTATGGGCACGAGGTCACAGTTTTGAAACTTGCTTTTGAGGGCAGAGTACTAGGAATGCAACGAGCTAGGATTGCGGGCTAGCTCGTTGCATTCGTTGCCCTGTCATCTTAAAGGTGGACAAACTGTGGTGCGTGCTTTAAGGCTCGTCTAGGCTGGCCGCAACACTTGATTGCCAGTCTTTGCACTTTTCTCACACCTCCGATACGAGCATTGCAGCCATTGTTTTGTAACACTGCGACACAAACTGGGTTGGTAAAATTTGGTGCCTAGTGGTGGTAGCGTGTAAAGTGCGAGTTAGCAGCTATGGTCACTGACAGAACGAGAACCGAAGGGCCGGTCTTTAGAATGCCCGACCTCCGGCATGTGTTCCATGCTTTCTGCTGCGTCTTGGCTGCGCACTAGTTGCACACAGGACACCGATGCATTGTTGGAAGTAGGATACTCGTGCTCAATGCAGGGCTACTCGCCTTGTCAGTGGCTGTATAGTCAGTTGCAGGTTGCTCCTTCCACTTTTTGCACTTCAGCAGCATGAAGGCAGGAGAGAAGAAAACTACCAATTGTGGAAAGAAAAGAGCTTTGTGGAAGGGGGCTTGCCCTGCTGTTCTAAACCTGCAACAGACCAGCTGTCTGCGTGCATCGTGTTGACGTGTCCTAACCCGCTTCTTCTTTGCGGCCTCCCTTCCCCGCAGCAAAGCCTTTGCGCGGTACATAGACGAGGAGACGGCGGAGGCGAACCTGGAGGTGTTTGAGCAGGCGGTTGGCCAGGGCAAGGTGGTGCACGTGGAGCGGTGCTCGGCACCCCACGAGTCGGATGCCCAGGGCAACATGCTGGATGTGTTCCGGGTGCCCTTCGACTGCAGCGTCAACCAGCTCAAGAAGCTCTTCCCCGGATCACGAGTCTTTGTGCTCAACGATGGGTGAGCACCTCAGTCTCCGTACGTCCGCAGGGCTTGACTGCATGCTGATGCATCTTTGGCAGAAACCTCAAATGGTTCTGTGCTTTGGTCACAAGAAAGGTGTTGCCTCCTGCTGTTTTTGAAATGTTTAAAAAAAATTAAGCGAAGAGCGTGTCAAGCATCTCCCAAGATTTTGTGTAATGAAAAATTCGACGTGGCCACATTCGCATTGAGACTTTGAATTCTTAAATTGCAATTTACACTTTACATTTTGGTGTTCACACTCCCAGCAGCCACCACTCCGTGTTACAGTGAAATGTCGAGCATGCACTTGCAATATGGGGCTCACCCACTACTTTTGAAACATTTGAACACCAAGCAAAGGACGTGGGAAGCACGTCCCCAGACTTGCATTCTCCAAGCACCCCAGTCAACTCCGCCTAGTCGGAAGGCCTCCGCACGCGTCATCACAGTCAGATCAATCGAGGCGTACGATTGGGTACGAGTGCTGTGTCAGTGTTCGACGGAGGCTCATGTCCAATCAGCGCGTCGAAGCTAGGGCTTGGCCCCGTAGCCAAGTTAGCACGATCCGACTCTGATGACGTTTTATAGAAGGTGAGGAGACCATGCGTAGGCCTTTTGTCTAAACGGTGTTGCCCCGGTGCAAGACGTTGGAGCCCGTCCTATCATGTTCCCCTCTGTGTGTTTTGCTCCTGAACCTATCCAACACCCCCAAGTTTAGGGCGGCCTCTTGCTCGGTGCTTTGCGGTACGAGCTCGTAGTTGCAGCTTGGCGGAAGGGGGGTGGGGGGGTTGAGTTTTGATTTCAAGATGTGTGTGGACTCGGTATTGTAAAGGGTGGTGAACTCGGTTGGGCCTTTTGAATGTTGTCTGTACATCGCTCTTTTGGTAGAAGCTTCAGTACTAGGGAGTCTTACAAGTTCGGTGCATTTTCTAAAACTTCTACTCTTTGTTTCATACTTAGTGTAGAACGCAGTTGGAGCTACTAGCAGGGGCTTGTGGTTCCATTTTGCAAATAATTTGCACACTTTCAGCAAGTCATGCTCTAGGATGCCACAAGCTCGTGTCAGCAGCTTTAACATTGCTTTACACTAAGTATGAAGCAGATTACAGCATTACATACCTGCCAATCCTTGCGAATTTTTCATAAAATGTACGAATTAGAACTAATTTTATGATTTTAATAATCTTGCTTCAAATTTTACGAAAAAACTTATATAAAAAAAATTACTTTTTTTTTTTTTGTAAAGTTGTTGCTGGTGGTACCTTACACCGCCACAAGAGGGCAATGCGGAGGGCAAGTTCGTCTGCTCCTTGCGCAGGGGGTAGCGGTGACGTCAAAACGCCGAACCCTGATTGGCTGATCGCGACCCCCTATCTGAGCGTCGTCTGCGTCTTCTTACCTTTCCTGTGACTCTCGAAAGTGCAGAGGCCAGGTTCACAAGACGATCTTACGCCAAAAATATGCGTAAGACAAAACTTGAGGACGAATTCGTATTCACGAAACAAAATTTTCGTAAGTTTTGCGCAGGTTACGATGAAATCCTACAACAGCTCCGAAGCTGTCTTAACGCACTTCTTACGATCAAATCAGCATGCCAACAGCGTCGCGGTCGCGACGACCAACGGAGGTTTATTCCTCTATGTGCGCTTCTCACGTGTCCCGACTTCAAGCAGCAAGAAAAAAGTAAAAAGTACTTGAAACAGACCACGACGAACAAGAACGCTGGATCCACAATCACCCGGAAAAAGCTCCAACGGCCGCGATTCCACCGACGACGACCAAGCGAGCACGGCAGATAGGCTAGCAGGCACTCCAACTCGACGACCGTCTACCCACGACCGGCTGGCGTGCTGAAGGGAATATGCCCGCGCGACCCTCGTGAACCCTTCCCGTCATATACTTTGATTGCTGACCTCCATTTTAGATTAAGAGGTCAATCTCTTCCACTTGTCATCTCCTTGTTTTCCGAGGCAACGGTGACTCTCGCCGGTAAAAAAGCGATGAATCTCTCCGACAGACGCAGGAAAGGTTAAGCAGCCATCGCTTTGACTAGCAGACGTAAAGCATACGACGTTAACTGCGCCAACCCGCCAACACCGTTAAAGAGTGAGGAGTCTCGCTGCACACGAAAGGAGGGAAAAGGTATTTGGGAGGGAACTTGCGGACACTAACCACCCTCACTCTCGGTTCTTAGCAAACAAACCTCGGCGCCTCGGGACACCTCGCCAGTGAGTCCTTTGACTTCCCTTCTTGATGCACATCTGCTAGTTAGCCAAAAACAACGTACCGTTGAGTTATTTCGTCTGCCCTCTCTGAAAGGCGAAGTCGAGCTCGCTCGACTTTCGAAAGTCGCAGGAAAGGTAAGACAAACGCAGACGACGTTGCAAAGGAGCAGACGACGATCAGATAGGGGGTCGCGATCAGCCATTCAGGGCTCGGCCTTCTGACGTCACCGCTACTTCCTTTCTCATGCGCAGAAGACGAAAATGATTCCGCTTGCGAGGCGTATAGGTACCGCCCACGGCAGCGTCGTCATTTTTTACTATCCATATCCGGTGGCCACGGATCCAAAACCAATCTAAAGCCCAAAGCCTTTGTTTGTGTGTTCGGTGGTGCTCGTTGGTTCGGTGTGTTCAGACGTTGGCTGCTTATTTTCGGCACCGATTTGATATCCGGGGGCATGGCCAATGACGTCACGGACATCAAAATAACAGCTTTTATTTTGACGTCTTAGTTACAACACGTTTTCTTTGGATGCCGTTGACTGCATTTTGAAATACCGGTCACTTGGCGTGTGTGAGGCCGGGTGCTCGGCGGTATCCGCGCTGGTGTGTGTTGTCAACGTTGCCGCCTGTACTTGTCGCGTTCTCTCCATTTTCAAACTTTGCCCGGTGACGTCCGCAGTGATGTGATTGCTGCGCCAATTGCGCCAAACTGCGCCAAGGGGCTAACCCTGCTACATCCTGCTACATTTTGCCAAAATATGGGTAATTTGCGCCAAGGGACAAATTTCAGCCACCTTTCAAAAACGAAACTGAACTGAGAACCGTAATTGAGCATGCTCGAGCTAGGTGTCACAAGCGGCTGCCCGACACAAAGTACCCTGCATCAATCGTCCATCCGGCCTTGCATGGTTTTTTCCGCCGTCTCGCGTTTCGCGCTCTCGTCGTCTGGGGAATTTCGTCTCGGGTCCTTTTTAAATATTTTTAATGATAGACGCGGGCGTCTATCATTGAACTTGGGGGATGTCTGAGCAGTAAAAACACAAGCAGCGAGTTCCCTCACAACACAACACAAAGTGCCTTTCGTTTGTCCAGCACTAAAAACGAATGTTATTTTTTTTAAATATATTTTTCTAAGAATATCTGCTCCAAAAGCCACTTTTACTGCTCCAAGACAGTGTCTTGGCCGCTCCAAAAGCCACTTTTGCTGCTCTAAAACACTGTTTTGGCTGCTCCAAAATGGCTTAGGCCAATCACATCACTGCGTCCGTCACTCTTGTTGCAAATGAAGATTATGTGTACCGGAGGCGACAGAGTCCAGCCACAGTGATTTTGTACACATTTTTCTGGAGCTTTCCTTGTGTGTATTGCAACGGATTATCTCCTTTGCTTAGGATAGGTGCGAAGGCCGTGCAAACGGCGAGCGAGTAGCCTTGACTGGCATGACTGCACCCGCTGCAGAAGCGTTCGTGCCGCGTGATTGATCCAAAGTAACTAGCTCGCACTTTTAGCACTATCGTCGACAAGTCTTTTTTTTTTTTTCAGTGTTAATTGTAAAAAAGAAATGTAAATATTGCCAAATGCTCCAACAAAAAATATTCAAAACAAAAAAGTAAGGTTCTATTGCGGATCGAACCCACGACCGCTTGCGAATGAGGCAGACATCTTAACCGCTTAGCTACGCCACAGCTTCGAAAATTGCGTTTTGACAATTCGTTTTATACGAGACTTTCGGACGGTACTTGAACGCTCTGCAAAAGTGCCGTCGGACGGTACTGTAGTCACTATGAATCTTCTTTTGCAACAGGAATGACCGACGGCACCGGGCGAATGGGATTAAAAAGGGTTGTTCGTTTTCGGGTAAAACCCGATTTTTCGACCCCGAACATGTTTCAGGAGAATCGGGTAAAACCCGATTTCTCCCCGAAAACCAACCTATTTATTTTTACGCCGCACGGTTCGCACACTGTTCACACCGCTGTCTACCCTACCTTACGCCGCACGGTTCACACACACTGTCTACCCTACCTTGGGAAAGCAGTGACTCATAGTTCATTAAACGAGCTGCGTGCAGCACTGCTCTCAACCAACCGCCCAACGACCGCACCGGCTGAAGAAAAGTGACAATAGGCGTTAAGACCTTGGAGGGACATTGCCGTTTCCGCTGTGCGGGTGGGACCGCCTCGGCACGGCACGTAGCTTCGGCCCTGCTGCACGGAGCTTGTGAAATGCACTACCAATCCCCCTTTCACCGCTGTTAGGTGTCGACGCCCAGCAGGGTCTCTCAGGTAGCATGGCCATCTCGCTGGCGGTCTACCTTTCTATCGAACAACGTCCGAGCCAGTCAGTCGCGTATACAGATCGGGACAACTTAACAGGTTTATTCCATAGCGAAATATCTGATCGAAGACGACAGTCCCTCAAACGGTCGGGGTTCTCGTTGACACCTGAGGGAGAGGATTCCATGGGAGATGCCTCCATTGGAACGACAGACGGCAATCGGAGGTGTAAAACCCTCATGTCCCCCTGATTACCATCTTGAAACAGGTCCCTAATTTTAACACGTTAGCGTTAAAATGCTCGTAATTCCCTGAAAAAAAAAAAAAAAAAAAAACAAGCGAATGTATTATTGAGTACATTTGTAAATGTAACCCGAAAAACCCCGAATTTCGGGATGTTTCCACAAAATACCCGATTTTTACCCCCCAAATTTAAACAATATAAAACTCAAAAACGAACAACCCCATTGATACGAGACGAGCACACACACCAGCGAGTACACCGCCGATCACGCACACACTCGCCAACCGACTGACATTTCAGAATGCAGTCAGCAGCATCCAAAATGAAACATGCTTACGTCAAAGAACGCCAAATATCATTTGGACGTCAGTGACGTCATTGGCCGCGCCCCCTGGACATCAAATCGGTGCCGAAAATACATACCCAACATGGCTAGGCCTCTCTGTTCTTTCTGTCTATCCGGTGGCCACGGATTCGAAGCCCAAAGCCTTTGTTCGTGTGTTCGGCGGCGCACGTTGGTTCGGCGTGTTGAGACGTGGTTAGGCCTCTCTTCGAGGCGAGCAGTACGCCGTCCGTGTGTGTTTGTTGCACGTGCAATCGTAGCAGAGCCCTCGTTGCGGTGGCTTCGCGGCGCAATGGCAAACTCCAAGCCTCATGGAGGTACTTTCAGGTGTTCCTGAAGTCCTACACTTCATACCATCCAAAAAAGGAGAGAAGTTTGGATTCTGTAGCAGATGCACGTGGGATGTAAGCGTTTCGCGCGGTGGCAAGGCTGATGTTAAACTGCACATTGCTTTGTGTACCACCCCCCCCCCCCCCCCCCTCCCGCGGCCACGGGAGTTTTACGAATTTGGAAGTGCACAGGTTGGCAGGTATGGCATTGACTTGAAAGTGGCCATGCCTTACTTTCAAATCATTGTTTAAAAGAAAGCTTCTACGTTCTTGAACAGGGTTACCAGTCCTTTCGAGTGATTTGGTTGTCTCTCTTTGTGCAGCTTTGCACGACTCCACTTCCAGAGTACAGAGCAGCTCCTGAGTGCTGTACAGAACCCCGAATGTCACACGATCGGTGGAAACAGCGTTCGCTTTAGCCTCGTCAAGAAGTTTGGCGGTCAAGGTGGGTTTGCCTGTCCTTGTCTGCTGAAATTGCTAACTATTAACAGGTTACGGGTACTCTTGTTTTTGTTCTCTACTCGTGGAGTTGCTGGGGTATCACTCTCAGCCCTGTTCTTGCCATTGAAAGTAATACTTTGAAATTTTGCGGGATTGGCAAGAATGTCCCAAATGATCTGAAAGACTTGTTGAATGGGTAAAGAAAGTGGTACAGAAATGTCCCCTTCGTGGCATTTCCTTATTTTGTTAAACACAATATTATGGCTGTCCACTTCGCCAACTGACGTTGTTTGGCGGTGGCAAGTTCTCGGGCCTGGTTAAGTGTTCCACCGCACAATCAATGTATGCAGCATTGTAGAAAAACTCCTCTAGTGCAGCAATGGCCTCCTCTGCCACTGCCTTGAGATTACAACCGATGTTATCATCAATGGTCATCTAAAGTGTGGTTGCACATCGCACGTGTCAACTTGTTAAAGTGAGGCTTCGGCTGTGCCGGCATTTGTAGTCGCGTTCTTTGTATCTGTTTGCATTGAGGCTCAAATGGGAGTGGAAGCAACAAAGAGCAGAGCTCTGCAAGGGATGATTATAGCAATTCATGCTCCTGCATTCCATTTCTGTTGCACACTAGTGCCGTATTTGCCTCCTTTTTTTGCTTTATGTGCACATGGCCAACTCCTTCCAAGCTGTTTCTTGAAAGGATACACTGCCTGCCAGTGCCAAACAAATTGTGCGGGGCTATCTTCGCCTGCAGCCCATCTGTAGGGGAGGAACCACTTCGCTACACCTCTGTTAGGATAGTGTTGCTTTTGAGAGTCCGGTAGGTATTGAGAGCGCTAAAAACGCTTATGAGCTGGTCAACTTCTGTCTCAAAAGACTGGAGACGATAGAAGTACAGTAAAATAACAATCTTGGCTTCCTTTGTGTTGTGTTTGTTGGATTAATACTCGGTATCAGCTTTCTTGTTCCAGATTATTGAGGCTAGCATGCTTTCCACGGCACTCCAAAGCTGTTTGAGCTGCTTGCTTGAGCGCTTAGCTTTGTTTAATGTTTCCTTCACCAGGATGTCTAGCGACCAGGAATTGTCAGGGAAATTTTCATTACCGGGAAAAATGGGGGAATTATCAGGGATATTGTCAAAAATCGAGCCCAGTCAGAGAGTGCCCTGAGCAAAGACTTGAGGGCTTGGGGGTCACAAAGATAGGCAATAACTTCTCCTTAGAGCAGAGCGTGGGCTCTGCTCACCCCATGTAGAGCGTGATATGTGGTTGAGCGTCGCGTTTTCATTGTGTTTCCTGAAGTGGCCTCTTCACTGACAATGTCGGTGGCAAGAAAATGCTTGTTTAATCTGGACTGGTTGAACCAGAATATTTCGGAATATGCAAGTTGGATTAAGCGCGTGCCAAATGAGTGCTCAATGCTTAATGCCTTGTGTTGTAATGCTCTTATATGTTTAACCGCTTCTATAGTGGTCAGGGAGTTTCGCCTGAAATTGTCAGGGAAACCTGAAAAAGTTAGGGAATTTCAAGGTAATAATTTGCTAGGCACCCTGGTGTTCACACATGGATGTGTGCTTGTGAATGAGATGCAAGATGAAGCCACATGCTCGCAGTTGTGCGATGCTGCAGCAACGTGGAAACTACGCCGGCCGTGACAATGTAATACAAAAATGTTGACAGATAGTGAATGACTTTGATTAGTCTGTGTTCGTAACTGTTGCTCCGAGCAACTAACTGTTGGCTGCGCAATTGCTGTGGTTGCACGAATAGCTGCGTCGGTTCTTGCATGCGCCGGGTTTTCCCTCTCCACTTGCAGGTGGTGGTGGCTTCAAGGGCGGCAACCAGTCGTGGAACCAGGGAGGTGGTGGTGGCGGCGGCTACAACAGCGGCGGCAACCGCTCCTTTGGCGGTGGCCGGGGCGGTGGCGGCCGGGACAGCTGGGGTGGTGGCGGCGGCCGTGGGGGCCGAGGGGGCCAGTCCTGGGGAAGGGGGGGACGAGGAGGGGGAGGGGGCAAGTTTGGCGGGGGCCGAGGGGGAGGGGGCGACTACGGGGGCCGGGGGGGGTGGACGTGGCAGGGGCTTCGGCGGACGAGGCGGCGGCCGTGGCGGCGGAGGACGCAAGTTCCAGGTGGGTTGGCCTTCCGACCGAAGTGCTCGCCCGCCTTTTGGCGGTGTTGCTCCCCCAGTCGGTTGTGGGTGGATTAACTTTCTTGATACTTTGTGAGACGTGCGCCGGTGAGATTACAAAAGGGGACTTTGTGTCTTTCAGGATTTCTACATGGAACGTAAGCAGCCTAACTTTTCCAAAGTTCTAAATCTAATGTTGTCACTGTTCGCTCTTTCTTGTGCGAGCTGAGACGTATTGGCGCCGGCGTGCAAGTAGCCCTTGAACACTTCCGGTTTTGAACTGAACTGCGGGTTTCTTGGTATTTACGAGATTAGATATGTGCGCAGTCTTTGGAAAATTGTCACTTCTGGCATCGTAAGAAGCAATTCACTCTTGTGGTGAAAGCCTGACCCAATAATTCAAGAAATATATGCTGACCGGAAGTGTGTCAGGGCTATCAGAAATTTTGCCACTGAGTTTGCTGACAAACAAAAAAGGTCCAATAGTCGTTGATGGGACGAAAACAGCATGGAGGAGCTTGATTTGTCCCGCCTCCGTCACTAGCTTCCTACCTTTGAGAACACGTCTTGTGAGCTTGGAGCCTGCTCCCGCAGCAGGGGCACAGCGAAAGACAACAAGCGCATGCTGTAGTCCAGGTGTTTGGTAGAGAGGCCATTCCATTCATACCCTGTCAGCGACTATAGACAAATGGCATTGGGTTCTATGCCTCGTCAGCCCGATAAGTGCTTTGATGGGGGAAGCGCTTACTGTTATTAGCATAATTTTTGAGACTACCCAAATATTGTGACTGAAAGTATCGCAAAAAAATGTATTCCGCTAATATATCGCTCCCCCTGTAGCAGTTCTCACATGTGTTTGTCTGCAAAATATTCCCCAGTTTCATGCGGTTTAGCTTGCAAAATTAGCGTTCTTTTACGAGAAATATGCCCGCTATTACCAGGGCGGTGCAAGAACCTTTTCATACCATCTGGTGATATGTCCCTTTCTGTTTTTACACAATGTGTATCGGGCTAGGATTTAACAAAAGGATGTTTCATAAATTGTAATGCTGATGTGTAATGCAAAAGTTTACACTATAAAGTAAACAAAGTACAGTTTCTCTCAATCTAGCGCTACAACTTGAACTGGTGTCTAGTGGACCTTTTCCACATACCGACGGCACCAGGCGGTGGCTGCACGAACTAAAAATCGAGGAAGTCCTACCTGCGCTACCAATTGATAATGGGAGCTACACTACCAGTTTCTTCGCTCTCTGATCTGCGGCGCGTGCCCAACGCGACTTTAATTAATGAGGGGCAGCCGTGGCGTCCACCCAAACGTTATTTTTCTTTCCGTCCACTTTCTTTTTTTGTTTATTACAATTATATATATGCTGCAATTACGTGTTCTACTTGCTGGTCCACAGCCTCCTTCCCAATTTCCTCGAATTTTTGTGCCGACTTCCGCTGCTAGGCGTCGGGCGCTCACGCGTGCGCAGAACGCCTCTTGGGAAAGGGTTCGATTTTTTCTACAGCTAAATTTGGTGCGACTGAAGCTCATAAAAGCCGAGCCCCACTCAAAACGCGCTGCACATTGTGCCTCCCGAGTTTGTCCATAGGATTAAGATACTTTTGTTTCCGTAACCACTTTTTTATTTTACTTATGCCGACATGCCAGATTGTTTTCGGCGGTTGCTTGTGCATTGTGTGCTAACATCCTCTTTTTTTGTTTTCGTTTGCAGGGGGATGGGGGTGGTGACGAGTGATGAAGCCTACAAGACGAAGTTATCGCCTGGGGGAAAGGGGTGTGCACGGGGTTTTTTTCCCATCGGAACCATTTGTGTCCAAGTCTTTTCATGATTCATGTCAACAGCGTAGAGCAGTGGACGTTGCAAGTTCCTGCTGGTTGGGAGGGCTGACATCATCCACATGGTGTAATAAAATGCTGCCATCCACATCCTCGCTCGTCTTGTCTCTGTTTGAATCAGTGTTGCAAGCTAAGCTGCTGTCTGTGCTTGCGAGGTATATAACACTTAAACGAGTATCGTTGGTTACTTTCAAATGAATAAAGAAAACGGAAAATGACATTGCGGAGGCTGGGCGGCAGCGTGCAAGCTTCTCCACGTTTTGAATTACTTTTGAGAACACAAACATTACGAAAGCGAAGCACCACAAGGATGTTCCAGCTAGTCAAACGCAAGTAACTGCTTGACAAAAAAGCTTTGCGTGTCGGTGCGTTCGCACGCTTTTATATCGGTAATCGACGCCCTGGCAGTTTTGAAGGTGTGTCGTGCGTAGATGCCTTTAGATAGCCCAGCTGTTCCGGCGAGTTGCTTCAATGAAGGGGAGAGGCAGAAATAACCGTGGCTATGTTAGAAATTGGAGTGGATCACTTGACGGCACAAATGGAGCAACGCTGCGGAGGAAGGTGGGTTTTCGATCGCAAAGGGCAAAGTATAAAACGGCGAGGTCGAAATTTTTTTGACGCGGCCCATGTGGTCGTGTGCAATCTCGCCGTTGCCGTACCCTCTTTCCCCTCTTCCATCGCCACTGGATCCAGCTACAAAACCGCCGTCTGAGTAAAGTAAAACGCTGCTCCAGAGACAAACGGCTTCACGCAGATTGCACTCGCAAAACATATCCACAAGGCGTCGATTGTTGATCGGCATCCAAGGCCTCTAAACTCATCAAGCAGAAAGTTGGGGTCGAAGTTGACTGAGCGCACCGACTGGCCTATCACGACGATGACTGGGCGCTTTTTTCGTCGACGTCCAATCAGCGCGCTCCGCGAACTTTCGGCTCAAACTTTGTGTTTGACGAGTTTAGGGCTCCAAGCGTGCCAAAAGAGCTTTGATCACGCCGCGAGACCGCCGAAACTTACTTTCGACTACTTTTTTCCTGTGGCAGTGCGCTTTTGTAAAAAGAATTCCACGTGTTCTCAACGGCAAATCTCACCGCTTCCATGTGTTTTAAAAAACGTGTTTGGCGGATGACGACGAACATGTAGAAAACGTACGTGTCTTCAGCACGCTGCCGCCAGCCTCTGCAACGCTAGCGGAAACGCGATTTGGCCACATGCAAGATGGCCATCCGGTGGCCACACTCCGTTACACTCGCTGCAGCGACCTACCGGCATAGAGATCATACATCCGGAGACGCGCTATCCAGCCATCTTCTCAATTCCTAATTTCCTTTACTGCGGAAGTTTAAGAGTGGTTATTTTTACGTATTTTAGTCCTAAAAGCAGTTTAAATTTTTGGAATCTTCGGATTGTTTGTTTTCAATTTATAATTAACCGTAAGCGGTTGACGGGAGGCCATTTTGTCTCATCTGGGGGGTTTACCAGTTTTACACTTCTACGGTTGGCCACTCTGTAGCCGCATGTGCAGCGAGTCCGGTCTGGCAACGTTGTTTACGCGGTCTTTGGTGCGGCGAATTGGACCCCGTTGGTTTTGCTAGAACAGCGTGCTTGCTTTCCAATCATCAGTTTAATAATTTTGCAGTGTTAGACATGGCTTTTAAGAAATCACCGAAAGCGCAAAAACCAACTTTACAGGGAAAGCCGGTAAGTAAAGGGTTTGTTTCACGCTTCGTCCCGTTTTAGCTGTTGCTCGTGCTAACCACGTGGTTGGCAGGACGCGTTTGTTGAACGTCAACGTTCCTTCCGTGGTCATTTTACAGGCTGGCAAAAAGGCCCCACCTCAAAAGGCAGCATTCCCAGCCCAGAAAGACGATGATGAAGATGATGACGACGACGACCTCGATGATGAGGACGATATGGGGCTTGAAGACTCCGACCTGAGTGAAGGCAAGTTCATACTTTAGTGTGCCCTACCTGATTTCGTGATATACACCAAATAATTTCGTAGAAAAACTTGGCTTGTCGACATTCATGCAATGGCAGACGCGTGCTTAGTTCATGTTTGTGGTAAAGCGGAATCTCTAGCCTCGCTTAATTGCATGTCAATTCTTCGTTTCCTGAAGGAGGAAGGAAGCCGGGCAGGTGAATGCAGGTGTATTCCACTCGTGCTCAAAATAAAGCTCTATTAAAAGAGTTTATTCCTTTGAAGGTTGAAATTTTCATAATCAAGGACAGTCCCAATTTTGGCTTTCTCAGTGTTCCCCGTTTTGTTAAACCTGGCTAGGGGGTTATTGTTTGGAGTTTCTCGCTAGGCAGTGACTATTTCGATGCCCGCCTTCAAAATTATTTTCAGGTGTATGACGTCACTTCCGTAAGACGTGAAAATAAACTGCTCTATTATTATAACGTAATGAAACCGCGGGAGGCGTCAGAATCATGGCTTTATTATTTTGATGTCTCCTGTTAATGTCAGCGGTAGCAGTTTCATTCTTATTTGGTTGTGAACGGTGTTGTGTTTATGGAGTCGGGTGTCGCTATGTTGCATGCCTAAGCAGCTTCGGTCCAACTTGACACTGGGAACGTCTCATTCAGCGAGTGCGGACCTGTGTACTCGACGGGAATGGTTTCTTTCGGACGTGACATCGCCCGGCTACAATGCTGTGCTCTCGCAAGCCTTTTAGCAGGCACTCTTACATAAAATTTTAAACCCATGACAGGGGCAAGCTGGATATCCCCATATATTTTTTCTGCATGTAGCAAATGTAAGTGCATGCGCTACATAGCACAGAGTTTTTAACCATTTATGCACCTAGAGGAATCCACAACCGTGTGAGCGTTTCTTCGAACAGTTTCCAAGTCTCGCTTTGCATCTGGTTTCTGGGGTTGTCATTTCATTTAGATTTTCTTTTCATTCGTGTACGACTACTCTGGGGCAGCTACTTAAACTAACGGGACGTTAAATAAAATGTTGCTAGTGCAAACATTGCCTCCTTGGTGATTCTTGACCAGCACAAATCACCTGCAACGATTGCCCACTGCACTATACCAAATGCCTCCGCTCGTTGCAGCTTGCCGCCGCCGGTTGTATTGCCGTTTTTTCCCCTTTGCCGCTCCTCGTATTCAAGCTGCTCTTCAGGAGCCGGAACTATGCGTGTTTGTTTACAGGTAGAAGGTTATTAGATTCAATATATCTAATAACATTGGAGCATATGATCCAAAAGTTTTGAAGGAATGCTGGTCAGTGATCTAGGCGGGTAATTTAAAGGTGAATTTTGGTTTCCAGACTTGGGTATGGGGAGGACACGGCTATTTTTCCAGTCATGAAGGACATTACCAGTCGAAAGAGATTCACAAAAAATAGTGGTTAAAAACAAATATGACACATGCTTTGTATTTGAGTTGATGAGGTAATCGCCAGGACTTTTGAGTTGATGAGTTATTGCCATGGCCTATCCATAGTGGTGCTGCAACAACAATGAAATCAGTTGCTAACCGGGTTCTTGTTTTGTATACGAAAGGCTAGTGACATCATTCCCCACGTCACAGGCTGCCGTCGACGCGGCAGCTTGCACAACAGTAATCTTTACCGGCAAACAAGCACCACATGCTTGTGCTTCGCATTGTTATGAAGAGCACTTTATCATGAATTAACTGGTCTGGGTGCTTGTTTTATGCTTGTTCTTTATTGGAACAAGTGCTGTGCTGTATGTTGTATGCATGATGTATGCACTTTTTACCTTATTTGCTAAAGATTTTTTTTTTCCATGAGGACTCTGACACAAAAATATTTAAGCACGAGTCTACAGTTTCACTGTGAAATAAAATAAACGACCCTATCCTGAACAGACTCAATTTTTTGTATTAAGTAATCCTGCCAGGGACTCCAAATAATGCTAGCATATTCTAGCTGTGAATGAACAAAGGATGTATAAGATAAGCTAACAATCGAACGTCACTGGGTGCCAAAAACAAGTTTCTTTTAATGTGTCCTAGATTGTGGATGGCTCTGCTCAGAATTGCAGTTATGAGATTGTCTTGGAGTCCGTGACACTTACGCTCTGTCCAGAAGATGATGCTCCAAAAGAAGAAAATTAACATACATTTTTCCTTTTTGCTTTATAAAACCCACCTCAAGCAGATGCATATTTTATAAGCATGAAAATTGACGAAGGACAGACGAATAGCATTCTGTCATTTTATTTAGGCCAAACAATAAAAAAGTGGGAGAGGAACGAGTGCACCACTGGGAAAATATCAATATTCCAGGGGTGGCCAGGCTGACCCGGCCTGAGGGCCGCAGACAAAATCTTAAGACTTCCAAGAGCCGGGGGGGGGGGGGGGGGGGGGGGGGGGAAGGGAAGGGAGGGAGGGAGGGAGGGGGCTTAGAGCAATTAACGAAACTCGAGCTACTTTCAATCTAGCTGACTCAAAAGCAGTCCAACTGTACTTAAGGTAGCAGTAGCACAAGACTACCAAACCGCAACCTGTCTTTCAAAAAACAGACCCTTTTTGCAGAATGCAGGAGCATCAGTCATCCCGGGAAAAAACACGCTTTTTCCCGGGATGACTGATGCTCCTGCATTCTTTACTTTGTCTAGGGACAGAATTTTTGGCGAGATAGTGTTCTGAAGTGATATTTGGTGAGAATTAAAACTTTATAGACATAAAGAATAATTTACTCCCTGATTGACACCCTTTATCTAAGAGAGTTTTTTGCCCCTGTAGTACATTCAATGATACACTTCATAGTAATACCCACTTGTTCACTCTTCACTATGTGGTAAAACACGTTTATGGGCCGCCTCGGCAAAAATTGATCTGGACCCGCGGACATCTGATCCGCAGCCCCTGGCATCCACAATCCGCCAAATCTGATTAATTTTTATCCAGTTTGCCAGTTTAGTGTGAATACCGCGGATATGCAGGGCTCTAATGATTAAAGCCCTGGGTACGGTCCTTCATTTGTTCTCACTTTGTGCTATGCCTAAGTTGAGAAACATCTCAGTGGCTATGGGTTATCATTTAGTTGCACCATAGTTGATGATAATGGAGCTGTAAGTACTGTGATTGACCCGGTTGAACATGCTTTTACAGGAATGGATGAAAGCGGTGAGGAAGGACTTGACGAGGAAGATGATGATGATGAAGGTGAGGAGGATGATGAAGATGAGGACGATGAAGACGAGGAGGACGATGAAGACGAGGAGGAGGGTGAGTTATATTTTGTGGAGCAACATGAAGCTTGACTGTATCATCTTGTGTAAACATTTCTTCAATTTGAAGTTAAAAACACTTGTTCATTGGGTTTCTTGAGAAATGTTCAATGGCTTGTACATTTCTTCACGTCTTCACTTTGAAGGAAACTAAACAAATGAGGGCTTTTATCAAGAAGCCATTTTCTCAAGTGCCATGTGGAAAGTCAGAAATCTAGTGAATTTTAAACCAGTAGGCCCCAAAATGCATTTGTGTGCAATTTGAATGCTTGTGGAAAATAATGCAACCTATTTTCCAAGGCATGGAGCCCTTCATACCATCTGCCTTAGCTAGTTCTCCTGGAGGACCTGCAAGTGACCTTGAATGTTCCATTTCATGTGGGCAAAGAAGTTGCAAAGAAACCAGCCAAGGCCCAGCTGCAGAAGACTCATGTCAAGCAGCAGACACCTGCCACTCCTTTGACGAATGGCAAGAGGAAGGCCGAGCCGGGTGGCGAATCCCCACCCAAGAAGCTTTGTCTAGAAGGTACCCTTCACTCTTTCTAATCCTTTTTAATAGTTTCCCAAGCCTGCTCAAATTTCTTCATTGCTGGGGATTGGCTAATAGTGCATATTCTATGACATGCTCTTTTTCTTAAAATAGTCTTTATTTTTCAGACCACATCCCGGCTTCGTTTGTGGTGGATTACCGTAAGTATGCCAAGGTACTATATTCACACGAGCTTGGTGGATTGCTCTGTATAAACGTCTCGGTTCTGCTGCCCTGATTGCCAGGATCTTGGGTAGAGCTGACAACTGAAGTTAATCAAAATTTCCAAATCACTGCAGTGTAACCTCGCTAATTTGAATCTCGCGGGACCTACTAAGCTGTCCAAATTACCCAAAAGTAATGGACAAACTAAATGAAGCAAAATATTCCCGCATGACCTATCTTTACTTCGTAATGTAAATTATTAGGGCTGCCTGCTTTTTAGATGAAATTTGCACTATGACGCAAGTTTCCTGAGCTCAGTGAAGCGTTCTGTCGCTCGGGCAATGCGTAGCCAACGGTGACAGAAACAGGCGATTGGCCATCCTTGTCCGAAGCATGATAGGTGCAAGGGGCATTTCTGACGATCACATGGTAAGAAATGTCTTGTGCCATTCGCCGGACAGCTTCCCGCTAGGTTTCCCTCCCTTTCTCCGTCGTAGCAGGCAAACTGGTTTGACTCCCATTATAGGCTGTTCCTATTTTGAATTTTCAAGTCTAGATCGACTGCAGTAGCAAGCATGTGGTAGTAAGGGATGGTGGTGAGAGTCTGCTCTCTTGTGAGCGGTCTCGGGCAGTTGCAGCGCAGTAAATCACACTGAAACGTAAATGCGTGAACCAGCCTCAGTCGCAACTTTGCATATTATCGCTCTTCCAGGGGAGCGTGACCTGCGCGACGTCAAGGTGTCTGACCTGCCGAAGGATACGAAGGTGGAAGACCTGAAGTCCATCTGCAAGGGCTGCGTCGACATCCGCGGCAAGGGACGACCGAACGAGTTATCGTACGTTCCCTTCTTGTTTGTGCTCCACTGTTGTGTTGTCCGTAATCACCGACTGGGTGGGAACGGCAGCAAGGAGCTTCGGCCGTTGACGACGCTCCGGCGTCTCGTGGACTTTGATCGCGATGAAAGGCACAGAGCGTGTGCCATAGGTCGGACGTTGGGAGGATCTGCCTGCCCTTCTCGTTCCGTCTGCAACTAGAAACGACTTGCCCCTAATTGTATGGCATGAGCATGTAGCCAACTTCCTTTAGGGCTGCTCCTTGTGCGGGGAGTTTCCACTTAGCTGTGCCAAACACAACATGCAGAGCTATCTTCGCCTGCAGTCTATCAGTAGGGAAGGAACCACTCTGCCACACAGGCACTCCGACGTGCATTTTGGAAGCTAAGACGGGCGCCTCATTTTGTTTTCGCATGCACTGGTGTCAGCGAGGCAAATAGGACAAAGGCTAATTGCGCAAATACTCCAGACTTACAATCGTTGCACTTAACGTGATTGATGTCTCCACTAAAGCAAAGCAAGAATTGTACAACCTGCTCCTTACTGTTTTGACTAGACAATGTTTGGCTAAACCAGTGTTTTAGACCTGTGGGGGATAAGGGTCACATTCACTTCACCGTTCTTTTCCCATTATGCACGCCACGGCGCCGTTGCAATACAGTCACTTAATGCTAACTATTCTAATCGATTTGTGGGTCAGGAAATGGCACGTTTGTATCCTAACTCGGTTTGGATACAAACGTATCCAAACCGAGTGTATCCAAATTTCCCATTCTTGACGGCATTGCACTCCCAGTTGAGAGTTTCTATGCTCTTGGCCTGGGCCTGGACCTTGAGCGAACTAATCGGGAGTGCTTGCGCACTTGCAGGTACGCCTTTGTCCAGTACCCGAGCGCGGAGAAGGCGGTGGCAGCCGTCAAGAAGCTCCAGGCAACCAAGCTGAAGGGCAAGAGCCTGACGGTGACCTACTGCGGAGACAAGTGGGGCTCTCCCGACAACTGCCCCACGCTCAGCTACAACCTCGTGGACGTGCGGGGCATCCCCCACCGCTTCGAGCGCAGCCAGTTTGCCTCCCTCTTCCCTGCCGCCAAGGTCCTCAAGTTCTTTGCCGACGGGTCAGTATTGCACCGCTGCCTCTTGCTCTCCGTCTGCCCTCAGTGACGGGGGAGCAACGAGTGAGTGATAAACTGGTACAGTTTAGGGTGCCTACATGTTTCCGCTCCGCTTTAGGGTGGCGCCAACTTCTTGTTACCCTTTCCCAGATCCTCTCCCACCGCCATTTTGACCCACTTCTCATTTGGCTAAACGTGCACAACGTTGAGTTTTCGTAGTTTCGACACACCGGCAACACTGTGAGGCCACTTCCGTTTCCGTTCATAAGAGGAGTCGGAGGCTCAGCGGGATGGCGGTCGTCGTGGCTGTCGCTCTCTTTATTCGGGTGTTTCATACTTTGAAGTTGCGAGCAGGAAGTATGCGTTGCGTTTATCGAAACGTGAGTCCCCTCGACAAAATGAAACGCAACAGACTGACATCGCACGCCGAAACCTCGCCGTCGGAATGAGAGCGGTGGGCGCTCCCTAGCCCTAACGAGGATTAGCGGAGTAGCGCGAGCGCACGACTGGCGAGTGTGACAAAATGGTCGACGAAACAGCGGAGGCTGCCATGGTAACGAGGTAGGCAACACTGGTTTGTCGGCAACAGGTATCACAAACGTTGTCGCCACCCTAAACAGCGGAGCGGCAGGAACATGTAGGCACCCTAGTACAGTTTATCACTTACAAAGTAACCGCTTATAGTGCAGGACCGGGTATAACGCGGCTTTTTTCAACCACCGGTTCGCCTCCCATACAATTCCATGTAATTGCATACTGCTTAATATGCAGGCGCGCAAAGGGAAATACCGGTTATAGTGCAGTTTCTGGAACAGCCCGCCGACCGACCGGCGCAGCGAGCACGCTTCCATGTGCGACACTAGATAACGGTGCTAGTCGCAAGCGGCACTCGCGGGGGCAAGGATGGCAAGGAGGTTGCTCGAAGAAGCGAGGAGAAGCAAAGAGAGAGGCGAAGACAAATGACTACGCAGCGAGTTACAACGCAGCGAGATAGTGAGGTGCGACCGACACACGCACGCGCATGCTCAACTCCGAAAGCCTCATCGATTTACCCCCAAGCCTTTCACCCCCTCGCTCAAGTGACGCAATACCAACCTCCTTTCTTACACCGCGCACGTGCGCAAAATGAAGGCTGGACAGGCTGGATAGTTTCTAGTTTCGCTTTTTGCAGTTTGCTTACTTGCTCCATGTCGTCTGTTTAGACCGCGTGTGGATCGCATCAAGCATATCGTGCGGAAATCTACCGTCCATTCCGATCTTTGTCTCCCGTGGCCAAAAAATGACAAGCTCTGTCTCTCGAAACTAAACAGAGCATCGTCAAAGATGTCGAAAGCGGCATGAAAAAAAGCTTCCGTCGCGGCCAAGTACAACGTCGCTGACACAACGGTTTCTTCTGTCTGGAAGAACCGGGAGCAGGTAAAGAAGCAGCTACAGCAAGATTCTGCGTCACTCTCAAGAAAGAGGAATTGTACGTCAAAGTATGAGGATGTCGACAAAGCCTTGTTTAGGTGGTTTTGCGAAGAACGTCCCAGTGAGTGGCCCGATGCTACAAGCGAAAGCTAAGTCCTTTGGACATTTGTTTGAGCGCGAAATATTCAACCCCCTCAACGGATGGATCCAGCGGTTTAAAGATCGCCACGGGATTAGCTGCGAAGTTATCTCGGGCGAAAGTGGGCAAGTCGACGACGCCAGCATCCAGGCGTGGTTTCGCATACATCTTGAGACAATGCTTTCTGCGTATGCGGACAAAGACATCTATAATCCTGATGAAGCTGGTCTGTGCTACAACATGCTTCCCGATCGCACTCTCGCGATGAGAGGTGAACCCTGTTCCGGCCGCAAAGTCTCAAAGGAATGTTTCACGGTTTCGTTTTGTGCAAACATGGATGGCTCCGACAAGCGGCGCTTGTCAGAGCCATCCATGTTACAAATGATCTCATTGCTTCAAGAAGTGAGAATGTCTGCCTGTGGTGTACACAGCAAATGGAAAGGCCTGGATGACCCAATAGTTCTTTGCTAGTTTGCTGAAAAGTTTCGATGAGGCCATGGTCGCAGAAAAATGGCACATTGTCCTTACTCTGGACAACTGCAGTGCTCACAATGTGCAGCCACAATTAAGCGCAGTCAGTTTGAAGTTTCTGCCGGCAAACACCACTGCTAAAAGCCGACCTCTCGATCAGGGCGTCATCGCTACAGTTGAGGCGCTCTACAAGAAGTTCATGTGCGAAAGAGTAGTGACTGTACAAAAGACACGTGACCGTACAAAAGGCTTTTACGCAAAACTGAGCCGAGATTTGTACTGTGATCTCTGTAAAAGAACACGATAAACTATGTTTTCAATGCTGTGAACCCCAGTGATCAGTGTCTAGCTCCGATAAAACCCAAAATACAGCACCGTGGCTGGCGGCATTTAGCGGAGGCGTCGCGAAGCTGCCCGAGTTTTTGTCTTAAAAGCACATTTTGGACGTAAACAAACGAAACATAACTTATCTCGTTAGTACTGTTATTAAAAATCAATAAGCAATTATTTCTGTGCGGTACTTCGTTAAAATCCAGATGTAAAAACTATAAGGTTCACATGTCTAGTGGTAAAAAATGTCGACCATGGCATCAGCCAATTGGGGGTCACTTTCAGCTGCCAGGTTATTGCTCTAAGCCCCTCTACCTCGTTGCGGGATAGTAACTGTACGAGGCGTTTCTAGAGACTATTTGGGCGTAAGAAAAGTTAGTATGAATTAACCACCGAGCGGAGTCCATTAAAACTTTTCACTAAGATTTCTTTACGTGGTGTATTTATCATACTAAAATTTCATGAGTGTAGGTTCTAAAAAAAGTGAAAGCCGTTTACAAATCCCTGTAACACCGAATTAGAGCGTAGCTCTTGAGGAGGAGGAGGGAAGGGTACTGGGGGGGATGAAGTGACCTGGGGGGGGTCACATGACCTTGGGGGGTCATGTGACGATGCCGATGATGTCATCAGTGACGTCACTGATGACGTCATCAGTGACGATGACGATGCGGACTCCGATGACGTCATCAGCGATGATGACGATGACAATGCGGATGTTGGTGACGTCATCAGTGACGTCACTGATGACGTCATCTGTGACGATGACGATGCGGATGCCCCCGAAGTCACGTGACACCCCCAGGTCACGTGACCACCCCCAGGGCCACGTGACCCCCGCCGAGGTCACGTGACCTCCCCGATGACGTCATCGTCACTGATGACGTCACCGGCATCCGCATCGTCATCGTAATCATCACTGATGACGTCATCAGTGACGTCACTGATGACCTCACCGGCATCCGCATCGTCATCGTCATCATCACTGATGACGGCATCAGTGACGCCACTGATGACGTCACCGGCATCCGCATCGTCATCGTCATCATCACTGATGACGTCATCAGTGACGTCACTGATGACCTCACCGGCATCGTCATCGTGATCATCACTGATGACGTCATCAGTGATGATCACGATGACGATGCGGATCTGATGACGTCATCGGGGAGGTCACGTGACCTCGGCGGGGGTCACGTGACCCTGGGGGTGGTCACGTGACCTCGGGGGTCACGTGACTGAGTGTCACGTGACCCTGGGGGAGGGGTCACGTGACCTTGGGGTGACCTTGGGGGGCCACGTGACCTTGGGATGACCTTGGTTACGCCGACGCCGCTCAAGCCGGGAACGGGCCCCTAAGAGCTGCGCTCTAAAAAATAAAGTTAAACCTAAAAAGACCATTACTTTTTTTCTATGAAAATGGCAAAAATTGTTTGTTTTGACGTTGCTGTTTGCAGTCCACATGCTTACATCTGCTGGATGTTCTTTCGGGTATTCATCTGGAAGAAGTCTTTGGTTTATATTGCACCATCTGGGAGTAGCAGCATCAACCAGAAGGTTTTTTGCAATTTTCCTTCCCGAGCAGAGAAAGAATGTCTTTTCTGGGCTTAATATTTTTTCTTTTTTTCTGAAACCCACATTATAAAGTTTGAGTACTGATAAATGCACCAGCTAAACAGACTTTTGTGAAAAATTATATTGCACTCGGCTCCAAGTCCTGTTATTGACGACGAGCCCTTTGCCATGCTTTGCTGTTATACCAACACCAAAAACGACGCTGATAACTACCGTAATATCCCAAAAATTCTCCACCATTGAAAGATAGCCCAATCCTATTTATAACACAATTTGCATCTTTTTTTTTTTTTTTTTTTATACACTAAAAGATGTTTTTAGTAATTGCAATGGCCTGGCAGAAAGGGAGTTAGTTAGATGAGCAAACATTGTTGACTGGGAAGGAAGGGTGTCTATGCTCCGTTGCCTCGCAATGTGAAAACAAATTTGGCAGGTCACAAGATACGAAAATAGCATTCTTAAAATTTTTCTCTATCGCTCACTGAAAGTTAGCTTACTCCTCGTTTTCACCCGATTTGTATTTGCTTTTAGGTGTGCTATTTCTCGGGATATTACGGTAAGCGTCTGTGTAATCAGATGGCAAATGGGGCGGGCGCTCTCCATCAACACGACAAAATGCGGCTCATTGGAAGGAAGTGGGCATTTTGTGGAGCCGTCCTATTTCCATCCTTTCTCAATGGTTTGTGTTGTTGTTTTTAATTGTTAAGGGGGGGGCACTGGCTACAGGTTTAATTTCTGAACTACTCAAACGATTGAAACGAGATTTGCAGGGGAGATTTAACATGGATGTATGTGTATTGTGCAAACTTTCAACTCTCTAGGGCACCTCAAACCTGAAAACTCTCTAGGACACCTCAAATCTGAAAAATGAATTTAAAAAAAAAAAAAAAGTGAAATTTAGGCCCATGTTTTCCCTTAATTTCTCTGGTGCATTGCACAGGAGACAAAACCCCAAAAGAGATGTCCATGTTATTTTTACAAGTATTAGTTGGAAAGACTTATCGATGAACATTGCCCACTATTTATGCACATGGCCACTCGCACATTGAACGCGTTAACTGTTATAGCTATCTTGTAAAGTGGAAGAAGGTTTGACCTCATCAAAAAGTGACAATGCAATTTTCCACGAGACTTCTTCCACTGAGAATGCCAGTATGCCATTCTCTGGTGCAAACATTATGGGGACACCCTGAAGCTAAATTCGAGCAGACGAGGTTGCATTCTGGCCCCAAGTTTTTATCGCCAAAGTATGTTTGTTTATTTCAATTCAGCTGAGGGAAAGAGCCATTGAGTTGAGCACAGCAACTTTCCAATCTGACATTTACTTTTGTCTTGCCTGTAATTTTCTAAGTGCCCACCCATCTTTGCAAACAGATTTGTTGCTGGCACGCACACAGTTAATAGAATTATCAAATGAATGCCAGTCCTCTCCACACAGAAAGTATTGCATGGTTATGTTATTGTATGATATTTTTCAGGTATGCACAACTGAAGTTTCAAACTCGTGAGGATGTCATAAAAGCTCTGAAAAACCCCAAGTGCAGGACCCTCAATGGACAGAACTTGCAGTTTGCCATGGCGGTCCACCATTCTAACCAGGGTAGGTTTTGGTTGATGAACGCTTCTTCTGGGGACTCTTTCTTTCATGCTTAAAAGTGGAATTCCTTTCAACTCATGTTATGAACTCTTTCCTTACTGCAAAAAAAAGATATATACATATATATAAATAAATATATAAATATTTTTGTAAAAAAAAAAAATTGTAACCATAAATTACTTTACTAGGTTTCCCAATGCATACCAAAATGTAGCTAAAGGAATTCTCTGTTCAATAATGTAAATGTCAAATAAGGTATTTATTATATAGTAAGTGAAAAAAACAAAAAAACTTAATTGCCAAAGTTTGTGGAACTAACACAAAAGCTTTTATTGGTACACGGCCTCCAATAGGTGACCGGCGTTTGGCAGCAGCCTCAAAGCACTCTGGGTATTCTTCACTTCCGGTTCGTAGCTAGCAGCCGACGCAGCCCCATGACGGCTATGGAAGCGTGTGGCGGTGTTGAAACCCGATCAATCCGGGCCACCTTCCTCTGGTGCTGGGTGACTTACACACTTCTGAACGTCTCAAGTTACTTCTACGGATATGTTAAGTAGTAATCGGTACGCAGAAGCATCGAGAACGGCCACGAAAGCTCAGAGCGAGTGCGGCCGGCGGCAAGCTGCACTCGCACCGCGCTTTCCGGATCTTTGCATGAAAACTCGGGTTAGATGTTTCGTTTTCCTTTTGAGCCAGCGTTTTTAATTTTGGTTCTGTTTATTTTTGACGGTTACGTTAGATCACATCACCGACTGAAACAGGCGCGAATGTAAGCCGTGGGGCGCGGCCAGCTGAAATGCCCGATCGGAGGTCTGGATATACCTTTCTCATTTTGTTAGAACTGGGTAAGAAAATCTTCCGGCAACCAAAAGTTTAAGACAGTGAATATAGTCGGTCAGACGGCGTTTCAAACTCAGGTAATATGTTTTCTCGCGCGATTGAAACGCCACTTCCGTACAAAAGTTAGTTTCGACAACATCTGACTACACGACAATCCTTGCGTTTTAACACTCACGCGTTTTTGGTACTTCAACTAAGTTGTCCCCCGTGAACTACCATAACCCTCCCGCACGTTTTTTAATGATGTCGAGTAAGAGAGCATGCATAAACGAGCACCGATATTGATATGAGCTACGCAGGGTTGTACTACCGCGCTTTATTATCAGTCACTATGAAGGTGCTGCCCATTTGCTTTTGTTTCTTCATATTACAGAAAGCTGGCGTGTCCTTTTGTTTATTTATATTATAGCAAGCGACCCATTCACACCTCTTTACGGGAACAGTCTGCGGCAGCTTATCACAGAAAATGTTAACCCGAGCTGTCGATGTAACGATTAAACGGCCTGGCGATGGCACTGTATGTCGACGAAACGTCGTGCCATGAACTGATGGCCTGCGAGATCGCATCCCGCGTTCTCGCGGATGCCTTGTACGACAAGCAGTGCTCACCCCTTCGCGGATTAATCGAGACCTTTTTGTTGGGTGCCAGAAGACTATTAAAGATCGTTATTTTCCGCGGCCCCTACCTAAAGAAAGAGAGAACACGTTGTACTGGCCTGTAACAATATTGGCCGCACATAAACGGTCACCGGCGTTTGTCTGTCACAGGCCGCCTCGCTCCATCACTCGCTTAACAGCGACGGCCCATTGTCGCTTCCATGCTTTGCTTCACGGGAACTGGAACATCTTATGCCCTCTATGGCTTGCGTTAGAACAACGTACCACGGAGCTGTAAACTATTTTCACCGCGAATACAGCACGGCTACTACACCTAGAAGGGCTCTCAATGCAGCTGGACGAACCACGACCGGCACCGGACGAACCGGAAGCGTGAAGTCACGTGGTGCCTCGCTTGTGATGACGAAACTTCCGGCTCAAACGCCGGTCACCTATTGCCGATTCTCTTCATTTCCCCAACTTCAATTTTCTGCAAAGAAATGCATTTTAAGAACTTTAATTTTTTCATGTGTGATTAATAATGGCCATTCTCACAAAGTTTTATCAATATCCGCAAAATACGAAGCCACAAATAATATTACTTACACGTCAGTGACGCATGCTAGTCGCGCCACGTTTGCGCGAGTATGGAGAGAACCAGGATAAGCATCAGTTTCGAAACCCGATGGCTTTGTGGCTACTAGACCTCGTGCACTGTCGTTCGAAGCATTATTTTGCGGGCTTTCGAAGTGTATTTACTTGTTTTTTTAATGCATTCATGCACAGGAAGAGACCAGTGAAACTCGTCCCGGTATAAAAAAACGGAAGGCAATATTTTACAACAGACGCTTCTGTTGGTTGAGAAAATGGAACTCGTGCTGCGATTCACTGTATCCATGTCACGTGATACTTGGCACGTAGGGAGACTGGAGACGCTTTCTGTACACGTTTCTGTGCAGATCTGTCCACTTTATTGCATTTTGCAACTGTCTTTTTTTTTTTTACTTCTGTCCTTAGTATGCCTGCTGTCAAAGCTAATACACATCGAAGCTTTGACAGGCGCTCTTGTTTTGCGGTACCGAGAAATCACATTGCCTGCAAGTGCTCAGAAGTTCCGAAGTCGGTTGCGTCAGACTTGCTTGCGTCGCAGTTACGCTGCAGTTTGACATCGCCGGAACCATCCCAGGAGATTTCTTCTTTGTCGTATTCTGTGGATGCTTACTTCTGGAGGCAGCTGATGACTTGACTACCTCTAAACGGAAGATTCTACTTTCGAAACGCGGTGAGGAGAAGCGAGAACCGATCGGCGACGGCAATCTATCTCGGCCTTTCAGCAGACATTGCTTTGCGCACGTCTCGGTCGTACAAAGTCTGGTGAGCGCCTCGTCGTGTTCCACATGCTCGCAAAGCGGGTTAGAGTCGACGGAAGGTATAACTGGAGCGAATCTGCAGTTTCTAGTCGTTTGCGGCTCTTGCGGGAAGATCATGAAGGCTCCACATCCGTGGCAACGACTTGAAAGAATAAACTTGCGGCTCGAGTCTGTTTTCGGTCGGGACTGTAGTAATAACTTTCCAAAGCTAAGCAACTTTTTGGAGGCACGAGTGTGCTGCCGTCGATGCATTTGAGCGTGTACCAGCAAGTGGCAACAGGTGTGCTCAATGCGTCGATGCAAGCGATGTGAAGGATGCCACGAAGGCTGCGAGGATTGTGCAGGAAGAGGAAACTCAAGACAGATTACTAGACGTTGAAGGTGATGTTCTTGATGTCTGTGCGAGTTACGACTTCACGTAGCAGAAGCGCGGCCACGCGTCATCACATTTTGGGTTTGGTGCAGTGATCAAACTTTAGACTGGCTTGGTCTTTGACTTTTCATTTCAAAGCAACTATTGCCATGGCTGTATCCTTGGTCCAAAGAAAGATGGGATGCCGAGCTTGGATGGAGTCGCACAAGAAAGCCTGCCAGAACTTCAAAGGTTCATTCAATGCAATAAAAGTGTGAGCTGTTGGTGCTCTCTTTAGCACCTTAGTTGAGCAGTGCAAGATGCATTATGTGACTGTGCTCAGCAACAACGATAGTAAGGCTTTTAACTAGGGGTGCCGCGAACCACCCTAGGTTTGAATTCGAAAGGATTCAATATTTTCGAACCGAACTGATGTTCGATTTCGAAAAGTTTCGATATTTTCGACCGTAGGGAGGTTCGAATTCGAAATATTCGCAACTTTTCAAAATCGTGGGGTTTCGATTTCGAAAAGTTTGAAGCTTTCACGGTTTCTGAAAGTTCGGGTTCGATTATTTCGAATATTTGTTTACTTGAGGTTCGATAAAGTTAGAAGATTTCGAACTTTTCTAATTTGAAATTCGAGAGATTCGAATGTTTCGAATTTCTTTGAATCTAAAATTCAAACGTTTCGAATTTTTAAAAACATGAAGTTCGATAAATTCGAAGATTTCAAATTTCTTTCTACATAAAGTTCGAAGGTTTTGATTCTCTTTTAATGCTAAATTTAAAAAAAAACAAAACAAAAAAAAAAAAAAAAAACTTTGAAGGTTTTTGATTTTTTTTTTTAAGTCCAAGTGCGCAAAGTTCGATGTCCGGTTTTCATGTTCCGCCACAGTTTCAGCTTCAAATAACATATTCACGGCTCACTGGTTTTCACGAAATCGGGTTTGGAAAAGTTTGGGTGTGATATTTAGACTGCGCAAAGTTGGTCAGGCAATTAAATGAGACGACGAGTGCCACGGATGTGCTGGAATATTTGCCATTGCAGTGACGTGTCGCAATAGAGCAGTAATTGTGACCGCCAGCCCGGGGTGGTCATTTACGTGCATTACGAAGTAGTGATCCTACGAACGCACTGTTTAACGATACGCATCCAATTCGGAACGGCCAGGGGCAGGCAGGCGGTTGAGGTTCAGAAAAACCTTGAAGTGATCTGGCAAACTGCCACCCTACCCCCTTGCACGCTGTTAGTAATCCGATCGAACGCCGCCCGAGTGACGCTGGCATATAGTAAGTTTAGTTTGTACATAATGCAAAATCCTGAGACTGGGAATGAAATTTGAAAGAAAAAGTGTAAGAAGACAGAAAAAAGGGGACAGGACAACGTCTCAAACTCAACTCAGCTGAAAACTCAGCTCAGGACAACGTCTCAAACTCAACTCAGCTGAGTTTGAGACGTTGTCCTGTCCCCTTTTTTTCTTTCTTCTTACACTATTTCTTGCGAATTTCATTTTCAGTCTTGGGATTTTGCATCATGATCGACATACACCAGCCCCCGCCTGCACCTTGACCTTTTTTTTTTTTTTTTTGTCATTGCTTTGGAGGTTTATTTTTTGGGGCGGAAGAAACGCCGAGCAAAAAGCACAGAAGCTGGGGCAACTTGAGGTCGAGGAGCGTTTTATTACACCAGTGGTGTCGGAAGAGGAAAAAGGGGGGGGGGGGGAAGGGGGGAGCTCCAGTCTCTCCCCCCCTCCCAGATATTTCGGACTGTTAAGGCTCTGTTATACTCCGACGTAACGCGCGCGCAAGCGAACGCTGGCCGAAGTCGGCTACGTCACGTCAGT